GCTATACATATTCTAATATGTTTTCGACTCAGCTGAGCTGAATTGAATTTAAAACTAAAATTAGTGAAATCTGAATTGAGTAGACAAAATATGACATTTGTATAATAATTAGGGTTATCGGTTTCAAAGAAACGAAAAACCCGAAGAGTTTGGTCCGGTTTGTCGGGTCGGTCTCAGTTAACCGAAAGTTTAGTTTCGATTTATCTGTTCGTCTAACCGAAAGTTCCCTACCTGCAATTCCGAAATTCTTTAAAAAATCATCATCTAACCATGCATATTTATAAAATTGACTGGGCCAAATAAGTAACGATTTTTGGGCAATTTTCAGCGGATAAAATCTGAAATTGAAGTTTTAAATTAGGCCCGCAACATTTTCTTCCCTCGCTTTTAAACGAATGTACACCTTGAAATAAAAAATAAACAAATTGTTTAAACAATTTCTGTTTACCCTCTCCTAATTTCAACTTTGGTAATAATTTAGTTTAGACCTCTTACTTTTTTCCTGTTTCACTGACCATTCTGAGCATTTGTGCTCGATCTATAATTTAATATATAGCATTTGAAAGAGCTCCTTGAGTTGAGTAGTGATACCCAAGATGGTTAGGTTTGGAAATTCTGGACAAAATTAAGAAGCTGAATCCTCAGTGAAAACTTTTTGTGTAGCTGCAAGGACTAAAACAAACGGTCTTAACTTTGTTCATTTAAGTCAGATTTCGTTGATTTTAGTACCATTCGACCCATCTCGAAGAGCTCTTTCGGGCAATCCTGAAGAATCTGTGAGACCCTCTAAAGATTGTTATTTTTTCTTCTAAAAATCATTTCATATAGATAATCGACAATGCTGAGCACGAATCTGGCACCAGATTCTGACAAATATAACATTTTATCTGATTTTTTTACATAATTTTTCATAAAATACATGATTTTTAAAAGTACATATTTGGATTAGAGAGGATAGATACCGCAAAGGGAACCAATCAAAATAGGGGGGTCTAAACCAAAGTATTACCTCAATTTTTTGAATTAAAGTTTAAAAGGATCCTAAAACAATTCAATAATTAATTTATGAATTAATCATCAAACAAAATTTTGAAAAAATAAACTTTAAATTAAATAAATCTACATAATTCAATCAACCTACACATTAAAAAATAATTTTTAATTAAAAATAAACATAAAAATTTTTTTAATCCCTTTAAAATTAAAAAAAAGTAATTTACTAAAAATACACAAATATAGAAAATCGAGTTATAAATAAATAAATAGAGAGAAAAATAAAAAAAGAAATAAAATGTTTTTATAAGCTGCCCGAGCTTTTGTTTGTGTCCAGCAGTAAAATAGAGAAAAATTAGGGGGGACTTGCGAGGAAAGAATTATTGATCTTCCCCTTCCCCCCCTTTTTTTCTATAAGTAAGAGAAGATTCGCATGGGAATGAATAGTAAGAAGGGTATCACGACTTTTGCGCCGAGAACATTTGCGCCGCGACTTTTGCGCCGCGACTTATGCGCCGGGCGACTTTTGCGCCGCGACTTATGCGCCGCGACTTATGCGCCGAGCGACTTATGCGCCGCGACTTTTGCGCCGGGCGACTTATGCGCCGCGACATTTGCGCCGCCATAAATTAAAAAAAATAATATCTACAGTCGGTCCTAATTATATTGTACTTCTTAAAAAATGGTATCCAGTAGCTGAAGGACTTTCACGAAGTACAATATTTCGGGAAGTACAATAGCCCCCTCTAATTAAGCGACCCCCTAGAGGAAGGTTGAAAAATAAACCGACCCCCTAGAGGGGTCTTCAATGGGTAAATGTCCAGCTCGCATTCTACCTTCTGCAAATGCAGTCCGCAAAGGCGTTCTGCAAGAGGCATTTTTGCTACATTCTCCTCCTTTTCTTCTTTCCCTTCATTTTCTTTGAGTTACCAAATGATTGGTTGACAGCTTGGCGTAATTTTTTGGGCGTTATTCATGAAAAAGATTTAATTTATAAATAATTATATAAAAATTAAAAAAAATATAAATTTATAATAAAGTTATAAAAAACTAAGCGGCAAATTGTTGGTAAAAATTTTGAGAAATTGGTAAACCAAGAATTCAGATTTTCTTCTGTATTAATATGTATGAATATTGTGGATATTTTGTGGTATTCGCGGATATTACATATCCGTATCTATGAACATCTCTGATTTTTAATATTTTATAAAATTCAACCCAGCCTAGTTAAAGGTTCCCTTGATTTACAACTTTATCATAAATTTATATATTTTTTTAATTTTTATATAATTATTTATAAATTAAATCTTTTTCATGAATAACGCCCAAAAGATTACGCCAAGCTGTCAACCAATCATTTGGTAACTCAAAGAAAATGAAGGGAAAGAAGAAAAGGAGGAGAATGTAGCAAAAATGCCTCTTGCAGAACGCCTTTGCGGACTGCATTTGCAGAAGGTAGAATGCGAGCTGGACATTTACCTCTTCAATGGACTTGACTTTTTCAAATCAGGATATTTGGTCTGCTACCGCTATTCAGGCATGATTTTCTGCCAAAAGTGAGTGCACTATAGTGTAGAATTGTCGGGTCCAGATATCCAGATCTGAAAAAAGCCGGATAGCCGAATATTTTAGGTAGAATATCGGATCCGGATCTTGATATCCGAAGATCTCTAACTATCCTACATCTTCTGTAGTGAGGTACGCTGTAGTTTTTCATTATATTAATGATATTGGCGGCGCAAAAGTCGTCCGGCGCAAAAGTCGCGGCGCAAACGTCGCCCGGCGCAAAAGTCGCGGCGCAAAAGTCCCCCGGCGCAAAAGTCGCTCGGCGCATAAGTCGCGGCGCAAAAGTCGCGGCGCATAAGTCGCGGCGCAAATGTTCTCGGCGCAAAAGTCACGGAACCGTAAGAAGGGGGGGGGGAATAAATATAAAAATAAAAATTTAAAAGAGCGAGAGGGTTATGCAAGCAATTGTAAAGAATTGAAAAAAGGGGAAAAATATAAAAATGTAATTAAAAACTAGAAATTAAAATTAATTTTACTCTTACTAATTAATTCTGATTTAATTTAAGCAAATCAATATTAAAAATAAAGAAAAACTAATTTTAATATAAGAAGAAAGTTCTTGTGTTTTTTCATTATCACAGGGTCAAAATTCGAAGAAAAAATTTCTCTTGTATAAGTTTAGGCCTAAGTACACTTTACCGGGGGATTTTAGATTTGAACAATTTATATGTCATTCGAAAGAGCTCGGCGAGCTGAGTCGAACGACACCAAAATTAGCCCGCGGACTCAACTGTGGGCCAAGATATAGGTCCCCAAAAATCGAAAAACCATAGGGAGGACCAAGCACTTTTTTGGGGGTGAAAAATTCGAATATGCGAATTATACCTCATTCGAAAGAGCTCGTCAAGCTGAGTCGAATAAGACCAAAATCAACGAAATCCGACTTGATTGGACCGAGATATAGACCCCTAAAAACCGAAGATCCAAAGGGGCGATTATTGGAATTAAAATTTTTTAACCATATTATAGCTCTTTCGAAAGAGCTCGACGAGCTGAGTCGAATGACACCAAGATCACAGTGATTGAACAAATTTAGACAAAGTTACAACACAAAATACAAGCAACATAAACCTATGGGGCATCGGCGAGGCGCTTGTGCAAAACCCCGCGCTTCGCGCGGGGTTTTGCGGCACGCGCCTCGCGGGGAGTCTACGGGCGCTGGGTCTGGGCTCGTAACATAAACTTATGCCTATTTTAGCTGCGGTCGGCATGTCTGGCTTCCTCCCCAGTAAGAAAAACCTGCACGTAGACCAAAGGTAAGGAGCTAAAACAAATGCTCATAACTTTGTCAAATCAAGTTAGATTTCGTTGATTTTGGTATCATTCGACTCCGCTCGACGAGCTCTTTCAAATGAGGTATAATTTGTATATTCGAATTTTTGACCCCAAAATCGACCTTACTCCCCCCTTTGGTTTTTCAATTTTCAGAGACCTGTAACTCGGCATATAGTTGAGTCCGCGGACTAATTTTGGTGTCATTCGACTCAGCTTGATGAGCTCTTTCGATTGACATATAAATCATAAAAATCTAAAATCCCCCGGTAAAGTGTACTTTAGCCTAAGTTTATTTTTAAGAAATTTAATCATCTTTCTAAAAATTAAAAGTTGCCTCTTGTCCACAATTACGAATTACGACGTTTTTGAGTTAGGAATTACGATTACTAAAATATCGGGAAAAATTACGAATTACTAAATCGGTAGTTTGTTATTAAATTTTCGAAGAAAAAGTGAAAGAAATATTGATATTCTCTTCCATTGTTCGTCTTGTTGATCGATGGTTCAGTGGTTTAGAAGACTGGCTTCTCTCACTTTGATATTCTGTAGGGCCGGGTTCGAATCCATGATTCTGAAATGAGATATTACAATTTTTTCTTCCAAAAATAAATGATTTTAAACTTTTATTTTGATTTTAAAATTGTAAATTTATTTTTTAAAAATTATTTTCAGTCTTGAAAATCGCTAAAAAATTAATCTATTTAAAAATTCTTAAAATTTTCGCCTTTGGCGGTAAAAAAGGGAAGAAATCTGGCTCTTAGTCTTCCAAAATTCTCAAAATTTTCGGTTGCAATGCAGAAAAGGAATTTAAGATTAAGAGGGATATCAATAGATTAAGAGGAAAATTACTTAACAAGGAACATTACTGTTGAAAAGTTGTAACGTCTATTGGATGTTTCATCACAATATTACGCTTTATTATTTCAATTATTAATATTTTTTTTTGTAAATTACGATTACGAAAAAAACTTTTCGATGACGACGCAACTCTGTTGTCCAGTATAAACATCTCCCATCATTTTATAACCAATTAGCGATATTTAGTTTGATTGGTTGGAAAAATATTTATTGATTTACATATTTGTTTATCTTTAATTATTTTATTTTTAAATTTAATAAAATTTACTTAAAAATTTTTATAGAGAATATATGTAGTATTTAAAAAAATGTCAAAGTTTTCATTAGCTTATTTGGGGATGCAATGTTTTTGGGGATCAGAATCAACATTTGCTTTATTGCCAGGCGTTTTAAAAACAAGAGTTGGGTATTCTGGAGGTACTTCTCCTTCTCCAACATATCAAAATATTGGGGATCATACTGGTAAGGAAGAGGGATGGGGGAAGGGGGAATGTCATGCTATATTATTTATTTTTTAAAAGAAATTGTCGAAATTCAATTTAATCCAGAATTAACAAAATTTAAAGAAATAATTAATTTATTTTATTCAAAACACAATTTTACTTTACCCCAAAAAACTCAATACAAATCTGTTATACTTTATGTTGATGAAGAACAAAAGAAAATAGCTTTAGAAGAATTGGAAAAAGCTAAAGTAATTTTTTAAAGTTTCTTTTTTTTAATTTTTAAAGGAAAAATATACCAACAAAAATACAATTTTTTATACTTTTTTACAAAAATTTGACAAATTTTATCAAGCAGAGGATTATCACCAAAAATATTGGCTTCGTTGTGAAAACGACATTTTTAAAGAAGTTTTGAAATATTTTTATTTAAATTTATTACCTCTTTTTAAGTTAAATTTAACAAATTCTCAATTAATTAAACTTTGGCAACAAAAATAAATGGTTATTTAAGTGGAAATTCAAAAGAAGATTTTAATTTATTAAATATTTTACAAAAAGAATATAAACTTTCTGGTATTTTTTGAAAAAAATTATTTTTTTTAAAATTTATTTTTTTTAGATTCTTTAATTACAAAAATAAAAGAAATTGCAACAAAAGGTTTACAAATTTTTGAATAAAAAAGAAATTTGTTTTTTTTTTATTTTATTGTTAGGTGGAATTGGAAATTGTCATTAAAAGAAATTAAGTAAAAAGATGTTGAAAAAAGTAATTTGATATTTTTTTTTACAAGAATAATTAAAGTCTTTGTATTTATTGTTAGATGTAAAGAATTCAAATGTTGTCTTTTAGGGGGTTAACAGCAAAATTATTAAACTTTTTTTTAAATTTAAACTCGTAACCTCTTAAAAAGATTTTTTATTAAATTTTTACTTCAATTTTAACACAAAACAAAAATATCCAAAAATTCTTTTCAATTAATTTTCCTAAAAAAGTCTACCCACATTTATTTATCTATTTAAAATCAAGCAAACTTTTTAGCTTCTTCTTTAAGCGGCATCGGAAAAGGCATAAATTCTTCTTGTTGACCCAATTTAGCAGTCATTTCTTTTACTTTTCGACGTTCCTCTGCCTGTTCTTCATCATATTGTTTCTTTCTAAAAAAAGAATTTTATCTCAATAAAATTTTATTTAAAAATTAACGTCATATTCAATTCCTCCAATAAAGCCTCGGCAGGCTTTCCTTCAGACAATGCAGCCACAGAACTTTCAAGCTTCGGCTTTTCAAATTTTAAATCCAATTTAGTCACAGCATCAGCATTTGGCAATTGATATTTAGTAGCCAGACGGTTAAGTTGGTCCTGTAAAGTTTTTTTGAATTCTGCGGAACTTTCCCAAAAATCGGGGCCAGAAGCCCTAAAAATAAAAATTTAATTAAAAAATTTTTACAAAAAAAATACTTTTGTTTAGCAGCCAAATCGCGGATTTGCTTAAGATAAGCCTCAGTAAGAAGATCAACTTCCTTACAGCGATACCCACTTGTACGAATAAATCGAATTGGAATTAAAACACGATTACCGAACATTTTTGTCTAGAAATATTTTTTAGAAAATATTTAAATAAATATAAAATAAATTTAACTTTTGCAACGTAAAAATTTGAAATGTTTTGGGAAGGTAGGTAGAATCTAAGATTTTTTGAAGCAATTGGGATGATTTATCAAAAGAATAAAATTTTAGTGGGGTGTGCGTACTCAAGAGTCCAAAGACTTTAATAAATCTTGGACTCAAATGTTTAATTAAAAAAGTTTTACAACGAATGATTTTGAAATTCAAAAATTTTATTCAAATTTTGAAACAAAAGGCTACATTTTTTTACAAATTTTAGACATTTTTGTTTGTTATTTAATTTCTCTTTTCTTTATTTTAGTTTTTAAAATGGACTATTATTCTTTTAATATTGACGAAACTGAATGTTCTTCATATAATAACAATACACATCTTGTTCGCCAGTTTAATTTCTTCCAATTTTCGAGTTCACAGGTTTTGGAGACATGTAAGGATTTGTAATAAAAAAATTTTAAAAAGTAAAGAAAGCTTATTTACCCCCCCCCCCCCTCCCCCGTCAATTTTTTGTGTTTAAGAGGTGCAAAAAAGTTCATTCGGTTTAAAGCATAATATTACTCGTCTAGCTGTATCGAATGACACTAAAATCAGCCCCTTTCTTAATCTTGAGCCGATATACAGACCCCCGAAAGTTGAAAAACAAAAGGGGGACCAAGCTTCATTTTTAGTTAAAAAATTCTAGTAACAAATAATAGCTCATTCGAAAGAGCTCATTGAGTTGATTCGAAGTCGGCGAGACCAATGTCGCGCTTCTTCGTAGGTTTTTGCTCTGTATCGGCCCAAAATAAGGACATGGCCTTATTTTGGTGTCATCGACACAGCTCGATGAGTTGTGTATTCTTTAAACCGACTGGCTATTTTATACATATTTAACAAAAAAAAATTGACTAGGGTTGGAGGGGAGGGGAGAGAGAGAAAACTAACACTAAATAAGTACCTATTACGTCTTTATTATTTTTAGTTCGGACTATTTTTACCGACTCTTGGTCTATTGTTATCCAAGGGACGACAATTCATTTGCTTAGACAACATTTAAATTTGACAGAGATGAGAATGAATAAACCGATTGATTCTCTTAAACAGGCTCTCATTGATCGTTTACTCCAAGTAACATTTTAATTATTTTTAAGTTTAGTTTTCGTTCAGAATGGGAAGTTCGATCTAATTTTCCACAAGGCGCAGGTTTTTTTTATTTATATTTTTATTTTTTTAAATTTTTATTTAAAGAAACATGCCAACAAATTTATTTTTCACGTACCGAAAAATCTTCGAATTGTGGATGAGATTCAGGAAGATGTGCCAGATGATGAGGATGATATTTGGAAACGTATAGAAGAATTGGAGCAGAATATTATTTTTGTTTGTTTATTTTAGTTTTTTAGACTCACGATCGTCTTGTCATTTTTAAATTGTTTATTTTTAGTTGCGTGTGAAAAATAAACAAATCAAGAAGAAACAGAAGAATGCAAAATTTTACGAAGAATTCCTTTCAACTTTTGATTAGAGTTTACTTTTAATTATTTTATTTAAAAATTATTGTAATTATTCTTTATACGCCCACATCTGATAAAAGGTGACATTTAATCTCAAAGAGCTATTTCAGACCCGGAACCCCATCCCAACCTCAGACTCTTTCCGACCCGAAACCCGATCAGACTGATATTCCCTGATTGACATATGTGCATCATTTTCTCTTATAAGAGGGATGAACATTAAAAAAAATTTGTGGTCGTTTTTTAAGTACCAAAAATATTATAATTTATCTTCACGGAATAAATGTAATCTAAACTGTCTTGACGGAATAAAAAAATGTGTTTTTGTTTCTTTATAATATATTTTATATACAATTAATTTAAATAATTTAGTATGACAGTTTATCTCAAATAGTAATTTTTTTGCCAAAATTCTTTATTTTTTTAGCTTTTCCAGAATTTTATTTTATTAAAGAATGAATACATTTATAACAAATTTTAGAAATATACCACAGGTAAATTCTTTGAAATTTTCTTCAAAAAATCAAAAAAAAATCTTTTAGATTTTACAAAAAACTAAAGATTTAATTTGTTCATTATCTTTATTTTCTGATAAAGAAAATTTATTTTTTTCTCAAAAAATTGAACATTTTAGTCAATTATCGGCATTAATTTGTAATTTATTTCATTCAATTTCATATATTTGTTTAAATTATTTAAATAATGAAAATCATTCAATTATTTTAAATATAATACAAATATTACCGAATTTTATTGAGGAAATTTGGAATTATTTGGAGGATGATAAATTGATAAATGTGAAGAATATTTATGCAGAGTTTGTTTTTTTTTAATTTAAATACCTAATTTTATTTTTTAGATCAATTATAATCTCTCGTTCAAAATTACTTCAATCATCTTTAAATCTTTTTTGTATTTATTACAATTGTGAATTTGTTAATAATAAAAGACGTTTACAATTAATTATTGAAAATATTGATAAAAAGGAGTAAGTATTTATTTTTAATTAAAATAAAATAGTTTATAAATAAGTTTTGTAATTTTTTTTTAAAGTTTTTCCAAAATATTTAATTGAATTTTCTAAAAATTTTAAAATTTTGTTTAAAATAGATTTTAAATTTAAAGTCCTTTTAATTCACAAAATTAAAAATTTAAATATATTTTTTAAAAAGATTTATTGTTCGTCTTAACAATGAAATTAATTTGGAAAGAGAATTTTCAAAATTTATTTCAACTGGTGTTTGTACAGAAAATCAATTAGAAATTTCAATAAAGGCAATTAAAAATGCTTATGAAGGAAAAAGAAAATTAATTAAAAATTTACTTTTAAGGCAAAGAATATTAAAGGTTTTTATTTAAAATAAATTTTTTTTAAATTAATTTTTAGTTTATTGGATTTCCAAAAGAAAAATATATTTCTGATCAAATTCAAGAATTGAGTGAAATTATGTCTGATTTATCTAATCAACAAATACATGTATTTTTTTAATTAAAATAAAAATAAATTTAAAAAAAAGCTTTGTCTTCGACATTTTGGTTATGATATTGAAAAAACAACAGAAGCTCTGTGTCAAAGAGAACAACTTCCATTAAATTTAAAAATTTTATTGAGAGTAAAAGATAATTTGGAAGAAGATATTTGTTGTCCAAAACAAGCTTTAGTTTCTGATGAAAATTTAGGTTTATAGAGAATTTTTTTAGGGTTTTTTTGTAATTGTACATTATTTTGAAAATTTCTATTTCTTCTGGGAATATTTGTTATTTTATATTAAAAAAGTTAAAAAAATTTTTTTGAATAGGAAGATATTTTAATAGAGGGAATCGTTAATACTAGGCACTATGTATGTTAGTAAGCACTTACAATTAGTCGAATTTTTGGATTAAATTAGAAAATACATTCAGCTAACATTTAAAATATTTACATGTTTAAAAACTTTCAATAAATTATTAAATTTAGGAAATATTTCTGATATTATTTATTTTGATGAAAATAATTTCAAAAAAATTCTCAAAGAAATTGAAGATTTAAATGAATTAATTAAATCAAATGAAGCAACAATTAATATTGATGGAAAACTTTTTGCACCAAAATCTTCACAAAAAGTAAAAATAAACTAATAATTTTTTAAATAAATTTAAATCATAGGATTTATCAGAGGATGAGCGTATTGCATTGGCAACAGCAAGTATTAAATTAGCTGAAATGATTGAAGAAAAAAATTCTTGCCCTAATGAGGTTTTGAATTTTAAAGAATTTTAACTTTTTTTTTAAAGATTTTTGGTGATGATTATGATGATGAATATAATGATACTTATGAAAATACTGAAGAATCTAAAGGAGTTGATATTGGCACATTGTGGGTAAAAACTTATTAAAATGAATAATTTTGTTTATTTTAAGTACAATTGATGAGGATTTTGAATCGTCTAGTACACAAACTGGACGAAACAATAAAAAATAATTGTTAGAAATTTGTATATTATAGGGACCTCGATTTTACCTACACCCAAAGTTTAGGTATATTTTTTTCATTACAAAGTTCGATTGTTGTCCCCAACTGTATTTTGTAAATTATTTAAATAAATTAACTAAATTTAAATATAATCTTAACCAATTTCCTCCATAAATTTATGAATATTTACTGAAGTAAAACAAAAAATTTACAAAATTAAATTGTAAATTCAACAATTTTTTCTATCCTATCTGTATATTCTTTTAACCAGTTGCATATATTTGAAGGAAGTTGTCGACTTTTTGTCTCTTTAATCATTTCATCAATTTCATTTTTAGGTGAAAGTGAACAAAAAACAATTTCATTAACATCCTATTTTTAAAATTTAAATTTATTACCAAATATTAAATTTAACCTCATCTCCTCTAACACAATAGACAGAACTAAAAACAGATTTTATTGTTTTCTTTACATCTATAGAAGTTTGTTCATCTCGAGTAACTAAATTTAACGCCAATACTCCTTAATTATTTTTATTTAAAAGAAAATATTTTTTAAAAGAAAACCTCCATTTTTAAACATTTTCTTCATAAATGTCAAAGCTCCTTATGTAACAAATTGAGATGGAGGGCAATACAAACCTTCAGGGTTTACTTGTCCGGACAAGTCAACAAACATTATATCGAATTTATCAACTTAATAATTATTTTTAAATTTATTTAAATTAATTTTACCTTGTTCAGCAGATTCTTTTATAAAATTAATTGCATCACAAATAACAATTTTTATACGTTCTGAATTTTTGGGGAACTCAAAATGTTTGGAAGCAATTTCTATAACTTCCTCGTCTAACTCAACACCAACAAAAATTGACTAAAAATAAAACTTTTTAAATAAAATATTAAATTCCTTACATTTATTAAAATATCATGAAAAGCTTTTAAAATAATTCCTCCACCCACTCCAAGCACCGCAATTCTCAACTTTTCATTTAAAACATTTTCTAATAAAATACTTCTTCCCTCTTTATCAAAAAGAAAATTAAGAGCCAAAGTCATATTTTTATGATGTTCACAGCTAAAAGGATTTGACCAATTAATTTTCCATTCTTTTTCATCTTATTTAAAAATTAAAAACCTTTAATATTTTCTTAAGAAAAACCTTTTGTTTTATTTTTTATTTTATTTACTTCAACTTCTGATTGAACTAAATTTGAACTATCTAAAAATATTAAACGTCGATATGTCAATTCATTAGCAATAACATGTTCTACAGTCCATTTCCCATTTATTTTAGAATTTCCAGTTTCAAAAGTTTCGCTAACATCTGTTGACCCCAACGATAGATAATTTATCTAGAAAAAAACATTTTTTAAATTAAAATAAAAAATACTTTTTGGTTAATACAATCTTTTGGCATAAAATCAAGAATTATATTATTTAATTCATTTTGTATTGCATCAAGTGATTGATAATCTTGGTCACGAAATAATCGAACCATAATTAATCTGTAAACATTAAAATAATTTAAAAAAATAAATCAGAAAATTGTTAATGAAAGCATCGATAACCTTAACAAACCCTAAACCCTGTACTCCCCAAAGTTCAAAGCCTAAACGTCAATAAAATTTCTAAAAACAATTTTACCTATGCAACTGACAATTCATTCGAAGATTTTGACGTCCTTTTGTCGTTACAAAAATCCAATCATTTTCTCTTAAAAAAATACTTTTCCAATTAAAAAAATAAAAAACACCTTCCCAAAGGTACAATAAAAACTCCATATTTAGTTAATTTCTTTATATTATAATCATCTATTATATAAAGTTCATATCTTTCTTTTCCATTAGAAAAATAAATTTTAAGAGAAGCCTCTTCAATTGGCCCTCTTAAAAAATATTTTTTTTTGTTAAAAATTAAAAATATTACTTTGATATATAATGTTTAAACCAACTCAATTGTTGTTCTGCTTTTATTCTCTCTATTAACTTTTCTGAAGTTTCAGTTAATTCTGGTTGTATATCTAGTCCATTTAAATATTCAATTTTCTAAAAAATTATAAAATAAAAATAACAGGGTCTCCTTTCTTAAGGTAAAAACAACAATATGAAAAATTGTTTTTATTTTGAGGTTTCTAAATGTTAAATAAAATTCCAAAAAATTTAATAAATCTTGTATCTATCATTCGTAAGCCTTCGATTAGCGCTATCATTTTTTCCAAGTGGATGGATCAAGTTTGATCGTCCATTAAAAAGTTACAACTTGATAAATGCAAGAAACCGTTGTTTTTCACATTTATCGAGTTGTAACTTTTTAATCTGCTATCAGACTTGATTCATCTAGTTGGAAAAAAAGTGCTTATCAAGAGCTTTCGAATGATATAAGATTCATTTGGATTGGATCAAGGAAAAAAAGTTCAAATTCAGAAAACAGAAAAATGTGGGGATATAAACGCCTAGTATAAAAAAATTCTTACCCGTTTTTGAGGTAAAGGAATTTTTAATTTAGTAATAATAACAGCAAAAACAGGCATTACAAATTCTTTTCCAGATTGAAAACATTTTTGAAAACGAATCATAAATTGATTTTTATCAAAATAATTTAACAATTTTTGAATAATATGATCTTGTGCTAAAGTTACCTAAAAAATAAAAAAATAATTTTAAAAATTAAAAGAAAACAACTTAAAATTATATAACGTCCAAATGGAGCTAAACATCTTTCAATTTCCTCAAAAATTGAATCAACTAAAATATATTCTTTTTCTGAATATTTTGAGGGAAGTAAAGCATCCAATGTCCCTTTATCAATTATTACATTTACAGAAGAATTTTGTAAATCAATCTAAAAATTAAAAAAATGTGAGAAATAAATTGGATACAAACATTTGAAGCAGAACAATTTTTAAATTTTAATGTCGGCCTATTTTCCAAATTCTTTTTATTTTGTTTATCTATTACCTAAAAATTTAAATTAAAAAAATATTTTTAAAAAACAAACATTTTGATCAGTATCTATACTCAAAATATTTCTATAACCATTATCATAAAGCTAAAAGAAGAGAAATTAAAAAATTAATTTAAAAATAAACATCATCAGCCAAAGAAGAATTTCCACAACCAATTTGTAAAATAAAATCTGTAGATTTAATATATTTCTCAAAAATTTGTCCAAGTTTTGAATAATCCCCATACCTTTTAAATTTAAATATTTATAAAATTAATAAAAAAATAAACCATTCAAATGAAGAATTATGCTTAAAAAATTTTTTCCAATAAGAAAGATCAGTAAATTCTTTTTCTGATTTTGGTATAATTACAACCATATTTGTTGTTGTTGCTTTGTAAAACTATAAATTAAATAAGATGAAATAATTAATAAATAAAACTTGGCAGACTTTATTAAAAATTTCTTTTGTTAAAAGGTAGGTGACGATTGAGTCTATGTAAATTTTGAACAGTTTTGCAGTCTTTTTTCAGACTGAAACGTCCACTTCTATTTTTAGAATTTTATACTATTTGAGTCTCGGAATTTTCTTCAATTTAGATTTATTTTCAATTGTTTATTTTTTTCAGCTTTTTAATTTTTCAGTTATTTTATTTTTAAATAAAAAATGCTTCATCAACATACGAATTCTTTATTTTTCATTTTGTTTGCTTTTTTTATTCTTATTATGACAAATCTTTACAACTTGAAGACAATTATTGATTTAACTTTTGAAAATTCAAAATTACGAACAAATATTCTTTTACTTAATTTGTCATGCAATAATGATAATAATGACAATAAATGTTTAAATGAAGGAATGTTGTGACTTATAGGGGGTTTTTTTTGGCTGGACCGATTTGGACAAATGAGGTGTCATTCGAAAGAGCTCGCCGAACTGAGTCGATCGCGGGCAGAGAGAAGTCGATCCGACAATCAGGGACCGAGATACAGACCCCTGAAGTTTGAAAAAGAGAAGGGGGGAGTAAGCTCATTTTGGGGTGAAAAATTCGAAAATGCAAATAATAGCTCATTCGACTCAGCTCGTCGAGCTGAGTCGAATGACACCAAAATCAGCTCGATACCTTGATTCTGAGCCAAGATAAACAGGTTCGAAATGGACAACATAAACCTATGGAGCGTCGGCGAGGCGCTTGTGCGAAACCCCGCGCTTCGCGCGGGGTTTCGCGGCACGCGCCTCGCGGGGAGTCAACGGTCGCTGGGTCTGGGTCAGTAACATAAACCTATTCCTATCTCCCTTGCTCTGGACGTACTTGGGGCCTCCGTAGCAGCAAAAATCTCCACATATGCCATAGGTAAGGAGCTAAAACAAACAATCATAACTTTGTCCAGTCAAGTCAGATTTCGGTGATTTTGGTGTCATTCGACTCAGCTCGAGGAGCTCTTTCGAATGAGCTATTATTTGCATTTTCGAATTTTTCACCCCAAAATGAGCTTACTCCCCCCTTCTCTTTTTCAAACTTCAGGGGTCTGTATCTCGGTCCCTGATTGACGGATCGACTTCTCTCTGCCCGCGATCGACTCAGCTCGGCGAGCTCTTTCGAATGACACCTCATTTGTCCAAATCGGTCCAGCCAAAAAAAACCCCCTATAAGTCACAATACCCAAATGAAGATCCAATTATTTTTGTTACACCAACATCTTATAGACCAGAACAAAAAGCTGACCTTACAAGACTTGGACAAACACTTGGAAATATTTGTAATCTATTTTGGATTATTGTTGAGGTTTTTTATTAAAATTTTAAAAAAATCTAATTATTTTCTTTTTGTAAGGATGCTCAACTTCCTTCAAAATTTATTGACGATTTATTTGACAGATTGAAAATTAAAGGTGTTCATCTTGTAAAACAAACACCTGCTGATAAAAAATTGAAGTTTTCTGATCCAAGATGGAAATTTCCTCGTGGAGTAGAACAACGAAATTCTGCTCTTTTTTGGATAAGGTTAATTTATTTTAACAAAATAAAAACATTTTTATTTTTCAGAAATAATTTAAATTCTTGGAAAAGAGGAATTGTTTATTTTGGTGATGACGACAATACTTATGACTGGAGACTTTTTGATGAAATGCGCAAAATAAACCAAAAAATTGGTGTTTGGCCAGTTGGAATTGTTGGTGGAATGCTTGTTGAGACTCCTCTTTTGGAAAGAACTTTAACAAATTGTTTGAGGATTTTTCTAAATATTTTCAATATTTATTATTTTTAGATACAGTTAATGGTTTTAATTCTCGTTGGAAGCCAGAACGTCCTTTCCCTATGGATATGTCTGGCTTTGCTATTAATATTTCTTTAATTCATGAGCACTCTACAAGTTTATTTAGTTATAAATCTCCGCGTGGTTTTATGGTATTTTTTTAATTTTTTTTGATTATTTTTTGTTTTTCATTTTTGCAGGAATCACATTTTTTGCAATCTTTGGACATTAAAAGAGAAGATTTAGAACCTTTAGCTATGCATTGTACAAAAGTTTTTGTTTGGCATACTCGGACACAGAAAACTGCTTTATTGGCTGATGAATTCCAAAAATATATTATGGCAATTAATATTTCCTCAAGTCTTTCTATGGTTGAAGAAGATGCAATATTTTAAATGACTTTCTCTTTTGGACTTTAAATTATTTAAAATTTTTGAGTAATAATAATATATCTTTTTTTTAATTTTTTTAATCTCTTTTTACGTTGCACTTATTTTTTTATCTCTTTCCGATCTCTTACGCCATATACATATCTATTACGCCATATACAATAAACATTGTCGCTAAAAATTCGGGATGTTAAAATCCAAAATTGTATTGACTCACTTGGTATAATCTTTCTTTTTAATGAGGGAGCGGGACCTAAACACTCTTGGAGAAGTCAGAGATTGTGATGACCGTCTTAATTACTTAATTTTATTATTCATTTGCTCAATAAAAAGTTAAGAATAAATTTTATCTGTTTTTATTTGTTATATCAATTTATTTACATATTTCTCATTTTTATTTTTTTATTAATTAATTTTTTTAGAAATAATGGGTGAACGTAAAGGCCAAAATAAATATTATCCGCCAGATTTTAATTGGCGTACTCACAAAACATTAAATAGTTATCATGGTGTTCATGCACTACGGGAGCGTGGAAAGAAAGCAAATGTTGGAATTATAACAATTAGATTTGAAATGCCCTTTAATGTTTGGTGTTTGGGATGTAATAATCATATTGGTATGAGTGTACGTTATAATGCGGAGAAGAAGAAGATTGGGATGTATTACACAAGTATGTTTTTAAAAAGGGTTTTTTGGGTTTTTAAGTTATAATGTGGGTTATTTGGCGTTATTTTGAGTTTCTGATTGGGCTTTATTTTCAGTTGTATTAGACCATTTGGATCTCCCAAAAATTTGTAAAACACGATTTTTTTATTTTATAAAAATTTTAGCACCAATTTACGAGTTTCGTATGAAGTGCCATCTTTGTGATAATTATTTCATCATACGCACAGATCCAAAAAATTTTGATTATGAATTGGTTGAGGGAGTTAGGCGACAGGAAATCCGTTTTGATCCCTCTACTATCGATAAGTTTGTTTAGAAATTATACTGAATCTATAAATTTATAAATCCTCAATTTTTAGTTTGGCACCAGTAGATCGAACTATGAGTTTAAAATTAGCCTCTGATGCTATGTTTAAGGTTTTTAATTAAAAAAAATTAACATAATTTTAATTTTTAACTATAGACAGAACATACAGTTGAGGATAAACAAAAATTGGCAGGGGATGATCAAAGAATTGACAAACTTGAATGGATTCAGTCAAGGCTTTATGATGATTTTGGGGCGAATTCCGCATTACGGAGTGTTTTTCGAACAGAAAGAAAAGCATTAACAGAACGTAGAGTGAAAGATGCTGATATACAACAAAGGCTTTCAACAGAAGTTTCCCTTTTACCAGAAAGTAAGGAAGATGCAATAGCTGCAAAACGATTGGTGCTAAGCAAACAATTGGATGGTAAATTAATTTTTAAAATTTTGATTTTAATGAAGAACGCTTATTTTTTAGTTTATAAAGAAAGAGATGACACATTAAGCAAAGAAAAACTTATGAAGCAACCAATACATTTTGAACAAAATCCAAGCCTTGTGTCTTCTTCTCCATCAACATCAAAATGTTCATTTACAAAAAGCTCAAGTGAACTTTTAGCTGAAAAATTACATCAACAATCAGTTAAAAATGCATTAGAAAATTGTAAATGGAAGGGCGATGGAGGAAGTTCTGCTGGAGGAAAGATTAAAAGAAGAATGCTTTTAGGTGTTAAAACCAATCAAAAGGGAAACAATAAAAATAGAAAAACAAAAAAGTGCAACAAGTAAAGAATTGCTTAAAAATAAACTTTGATAAACTTAAAATTTAGTGACGAAGAAATAGAAGGCGAAGAGGATATAAAATGTTTAGATGAAAGAGAAGAAACAAGTAACGGGGAACAATCATCTTTTCTACCTGGAATTTCGATATACAATTGTGAAGATTATGATAGCAGTAATTCTGAAGATAATAAAGATATATTTTAAGTCAGAAAGTAACATTGTATGAAATTCTATAAATATGTAAATATAAAAGAGATAAATAAATTAACAAGGATATGGATCGATATTATAATCTTTAACTGATAATAATATTAAAAACAATAACAAAAATTAAGAAAAATGAATATCTTCCTTGTTAAAATTAATTAAAAGAGCAAGAAAATCTTCTATAGACATTGTTCTTGCTCTCCGGTTAGCAAATTGTCCATCAACAAGTGTTCGTTCAATTAATTCCTCCATAGAAAAATCATCAGGAATTTCCTTTCCTTTTGTTTTACAAACAATTTTATAATTACGCTCCAAAATGTTAACAACATTCTTTTGTTTAAATAAAGAAAGAATAGTTTTATTTTTTCTCATAAATGCAATTCTTAACATTCCATCCCATTCCTTTAAATTTAAAATTTTTTTTTATTTTTAAATTTCTAATAAAAAAACCTTATAACAAATTGCTGGTGGGGGAGATCTAGGTTCTATGCGTACAACAGCAGAATCAACTTTTGGAGGAGGTACAAATTCTGAACGTTTAACTTTCATTAAATGTTCGACTTTTGCTAATAATTGTACACTAACAGATAAACGGCAATAACATTTACTACCAGGAGAGGCTGTAAGACGATCAGCAAATTCTTTTTGGAACATTAAAACAGCATATCTTTTTTTAATTAAAAAAATTTTTTTTAATAATTAAGACAAAACCTTGGCAAAGGTCTCTGCAACAATAATCGAAAAACAAAAGGCGAAGATATTTTATAAGGCAAATTAGAGACACAAATATCAAAATGGGGCCATTCTTTTATTTTAATTACATCTCCAGTAATTATTTTTAATTTATACTGATTTTGACTAAAAATTTAAATTAATTATTTTTTAAAAAGAAAAATAAAATTTTACGTTCCAATAACTCTCTTTTGTAATTCTGCAACCATTTTTGGGTCTATTTCAAAAGCTATCAATTTTTTTGCTCTTTGCATAATTTTTAGTGACATATTTCCAGTACCAGATCCCACTTCCATTACCGTGTCAGTGCCTTTTATTGCCGACTTAAATTTTTACAAAAATTTGATTTAAAATATTTAAACCTTTTCAATAATTGCGTGGACAACTCCAGGATTTTTTAGAATGTGTTGCCCTTTAAGTTTGTCAAATCGAACACCTAAAAATATATTTAAATTAAATTTTAAAAAATTAGAAACCTGTCGCTTTTTTGTTAATATCTTCAAAAGCCTTTCTTTTTTTGCCCATATTTCCTTCGAAAAAATAAAAAAATTAGATTATAATTTAAAAAAATATTTAAAGTTAGTAAACATTGAATATAATTTACATAAATATATGTAATTTTATAAAAAATATGAAATCGAATTTTTTACAATAAATATTAAATAAATTTCCAAGATTATTCAATTTTTTCGGATAATTTTTTCTCTTCAAATAAATAATAATTAATAAATTGTATCATTATATAACAATTTGTAATTAAAAAAATTAAAGATCCAACCCAAATCCAAACAAATGTATTATATCCACAAAATTCAAGTAAATAAGCGGGTAATAACCAATTACCTTGAGCAAATAACCAAATGGCCAAAAGTAAAAATAATTTATTTAAATTTAACTAAAAATACAAATTTATTTTAATATTTAAAAAATACTTTAATTTTATGAATAATTAAAGGAAGAAAACAAAAATACCAAATAAAATATTGAGAAGTACTAACCTTTAAAAAAAATATTTTTAAATTTATTTTTAAAAAAACTTTATTAAAAGAGACAAATGCAAATGTTGTTAAAAACCAACAAAACGGCAAATCATTTGAAAATCTGGAAAAAAAATTATTTTTTTAATTAAAAAATTATTTAATAAACTTTAAAGCAAAAAAAGCATTGCAAATAATTTGTGGAAAAAATGAAAAAATTCCAATAAATTTAGTCCATTCTTTATTATTCATTGACAAATATAAAGGTAAAAAATATGGAGAAAAATTATGAGAAACATCAACTCTTGTTAAATGGTACAAAAAAGAAGAATAAATAAATGGTTGTCCATAAAATAAATAAAAAATAAATGTTGAAAGTAAAAAAGAGAAAATACTTATCTTTAAAGAAGAAATTTTTTTTAACTAAAAAGAAAAACTTACAAAAATAAATGAAAATCCCCTCTTGTTTTGTAAACAATTTAAAATAAATAATTTAATATTTCCCAAATTTTTATTTTTATAATTGGATAAATGAAGAAAAATTGAAGGATAATAAATTAACTGAAAAATAAAAAAGAAATTATTTAAAAATTATTTTTGATATAAAAAACAAACAGGGAATATTCTCAAATGTGTTGCCAATCCATGAATAAAAGCTGAAAGTAAATAATTTCCTTTAGATAATTCAAGCATTGTCAACAAATTTAAAAAACAAATTAAAGCATCAGAATTTCCTCGAGTTGCAATAATTATATTGAAAAGATTAAATAACCAAAGAAGACAAATTGAACGACGAAATAAAATTAATTTGTTTGAAATTATTTCTTTGTTTGTTGTAGAGATTTTGTTAAATTGGGTAAAATATTGTAATTGTATCCAACCAACAAGAACATCCAAAATTGAAAAAATTATTTTCCCTTTAAAAAAAGTTTTTTCGATTAAAAATTTTTTGTACCAAAATCTGCAAATAAATAATTTGGAACAAGAATCCAAGCAATAATTGGCGAATATCTATAAGTCGAAAGATTATATGGAGAAGATCCTTGTGAAACCAAAAGTGCAGCTTCTGTAAAGACTTCATAATCAACATCAGTAAAATTTAACTATAAAATTTGAAAAAAAAAAATTAAAAAAAAATAAAAAATAAAATTACATTAAATAAATAATCGTGGATTCGAGCATATAAAATAAAAAATAAACGAACAAGAAATGCTAAAATAAATAAATTATTATCGGACCAAATTAAAGGCCGAGTCATTACAAAAACGGCGAATAGTAAGGACGAAATTTGTCTGAAATTTGTTTTTGACAGAATGCCAAAAAATAAAAATAATTTTTATAACGCCAAATTGCGGGGCTTCAAATATTTTTTTATTAAAGTTTCAAAAATCAACAAATTTTTATTTTTTTTTCAAGTGAAAGATGGTTTTTTATCTGGTTGGATTAGGGTTAGGAGATGTCACAGATATAACAGTAAAAGGATTAAATATCGTTAGTTTACATTTCTTTATTAAAAATAAAAATAATTTTTAAAAAGGTTCGCCGTTGCAAAAAAGTTTATTTTGAAAATTATACAAGTTTACTTTCATTTGGTTTTGATCAAACACAACTTGAAAAATTTTATGAAAGGCCAATAATTGAAGCAGATAGAGAATTTGTTGAACAAAAAATTGGTGCTTAAATTTAAATTGATTTTTTTAAATTTTCTTTTTCAAAAAAAGAGAAGGTTTTGGAAGAATCTTTAAATGAGGATATTGCTTTATTAATTGTTGGGGATCCTTTTGGTGCTACAACACAGTAAAATTTTTTGGTAGTCTTTATTTTAAATTAAATTTAAAGTTCAGATTTGTTAATTAGAGCAAAACAAATTGGCGGTTCTGTTAAAGTGGTTAGTTTATTATTATTATTAATTATTTTTTAAAAATAAATAATTTAGATTCATAATGCTTCGATTTTAACAGCTGTTGGATGTACAGGACTTCAAGTATTTTTAATTTTTAGTTTTGTTAAAAAATATTTTAGCTTTATAATTTTGGCTCAACTGTCTCAATTCCTTTTTGGACTGATAATTGGGAACCAGATTCTTTTTTTGAAAAGTTTGTTATTATTAAATCACGATTTTAATTTATCATGGGAAAGGGGAAACTCAGAAATTTTTTTAATCACTGGTTTGTTAGTACATGATTATACTATAAAAGAAAAATAAAAGCTTACAATCATAAACCCGTGTAGGGATAACGAATTACCAAAAATTATTTTAGAAAAGGCTTTAACTACAAAATAATCCCCATTTTTTTGTCTTAATCTATTTTTGTTTGTTATACAATTTAATTTTAAGGATTTTAATAAACTTGAATAATGGAATGCATACATTATGTTTGCTTGGTATTTAAATTAATTTTAAATATTTAAAAAATATTTATAGATATTAAAATAAAAGAACAAAGTTTGGAAAATATTTTGAGGTTTTTTAAATTGATTATTAAAATATTTTTTAAAAAAATTTAGAAGAAGAAATGAATATGAGAAACCATGTTTTCTAACTTGTTCCCAAGCTGCTAAACAAATAATTAAAATAATTGAGAGGAATAAAGGAAATTTGGGTATTTTTTTAATTTTAATTATAAAAATATTTTTATATAAAAATAGTTGTAAATGCTGATATATTTGTTGTTGGAATTGCTAGAATTGGTTGGGATGATCAAAAGGTTTTATATAAATTAAAATATTTTTGAATTTTTTGGTGAATTTTTGCACATTGAAAATAAAAATACCCATGCATTTCTAAAATTAACGGATATGTATATTTTGGAGGTTGCTTGAATATTTATACGTAAATATTTTTTGTGATCTCTCATTTTCCAAAAAAATGAGAGAATTATAAAAACATTTAAATTTCCCAAAATCCAGTCATTTTTAATTTAAGGTTTTTAAAATCAATTAATTTTTACTCTTTTAATTTATAGATTGTCTATGCTACTCTTCAACAGTTAGCCTTTGAAGTGGATATGGGGTTACCTCTTCACAGTCTAATCATTCCTTCTTTTGAATTACATCCTTTAGAGAAAGAAATGCTTAATTCTTTTATTTTTAAATAATTATTGTTGGTGTTTTTATTGTTGTTGACATTTTTTGACAAGTTAAAAACTTTGGATATCTCTCTACTGTTTTTTCTTTTGAGCTTCCCAAACGTCCAAAAATCCCCCCAAAAATGATTTTGTGCTCTTACCTTTTTCTTTCCTTTGTGTCATTTTATGTCTTTAACATTTTATAAAAATACATTTTGTAGAATTGTTCACTGGTAGACAATCTGGCTTACCCATCCTCTCAGTATCGTATACGAGAGGGAATCGATTCATTGGAATATTTCCAAAGTCAGCGCTCGGGGGTTATAATATATGTGTGGGTAGGCATGTAGTTAGTTGTTGTAGTAGTGTGGCTTGCTTAAAGCGTATGCAAGACAAAGCAAATAATATGTAAAGAAAAGAAAAAATGGGTGGCAGAAAAACCACCATCGCGTCTTGTGTTAATGCTCCTCTGTCTTCTTAATGTTGTCAAGTGCCCGTCTCCCAAATAATACGCAATTTATCGGTTTCATTTATAGCTTAAAACCAAGTCCTATGTCCACATGTTTAGTTGTAAAAAATTAAGTTTTAATTTTTAATGTTTGCCCAAATAATTTGTGTTTCAATTGTTATTTGTTTAGCTTTTACATTTATGCTTTTTTTGACCCTTATTAAAGTTTCTGTATTTGTTGGCTTTATGCCCTTAACAGGAAATTCTAAGTACGGTAATTAGGTCCGAGTTTGAGTTCGCGTATTTGAGTCTGATTATCAGAATTCATCGCAAAAAAGCCTTTAAATGCATCACAAATTCTTTTCGGGACTCAATTTGTTTTTAAATGATAATCTTCCTAATCTCTTAAATGCCTTCCCAAATCTTGTAAAATTATTTTTTTAATTTTTAGTAAAATATTTTTTATTTAAATTTGCAACATTTTGGCTATTAAATAATCAAAATGTTTCCACAACATCCTCAACAACAAGCACAAATGCATTCCCAACTACAGCAAAGAAAAGAACCACAACAATTTATTTCAGCTGAGGCACAAGCAAGAGAAAAGTAAAAAAATATTTTTTTTTAATTTTTAAAATTTTTTGTTTCAAGATTAAGCCATTTTGTTTATGAATATCTTGTTCATATGGGAGCATCTAAAACTGCCGATATGTTTAAAAATGAGGTTCTTGCACATAATCCAAATATTCAAATTGATGTCTCTGCACCGCCTGGTTTTCTTTCAAATTGGTTTAGGTAGGGAATTTGTTTTTAAAATTATTTTTTAAAATTATTTTTAAGTGTTTTTTGGGACCTTTATTCTGTTCAAGCTGACAAAAAAGACAAAGCAGAACCTTCAAATGATGCAAAAACTTATCATAAAATGGTGAATTGTTATTTATTTTTAATTAATTTTAATTTCAAATTTTAGATTTTCCCAGCTGGTGGTTTCCCTGAAGGAATGGTTAACGGGGGAGGAATATATGGGCATCCTGGAGTTTGTTTATTTTTAATATTAAAAAATTATTTTATTTTAAGTTTCATAATCCAAACATGGGCCAAGCACCTGGTTTGCCTCCTCCACCTCAATCTCAAAATATGCCTGATGGTATGTTTCCGGTTGGTTATTTTAATGGAACACGTGGTGGTCCTCAGCCTGGTCCTTCTCAATCTTCTAATCAAGCTTCACCTATTCCAGGTAATTTAAAATTTTTCACTTTCAGTTATTTTATATTTTCTGTTAAAGGTGGACCTTCTAACAGATTTCCTCAACAACAAGGTACTCGAAGTGGGGCACCAACTCCCAACAGTTTTCAATCACCTCATCAAATAAATGCTGCTTCCTTTCAAATGACCGAACAAATGCGGATGGCTTTTGTTCAACAACAAAGACAAGGTGTCCAACCGGGAAGGATGCCTATGGTTTGTTTGCCAAACAAATATTTTCTTTTTGTTTTTTTCTTTCCTTAGAATATGGCCATTCCTGGTCATCCAGGCAGGCAACAAATTCGCCCACAATTCTGTCCACCACAACAATATATGGATTCACCATCTGGCACTCCACCATTCACAGGTTCTATATCACAACATAATGGCGCAGTTTCTGCTGCAGCTGCTTCGGCTATGTGTTCTTCTTCTGCTTCTTTAATGTCTCCTTCAGCCTGTGTTCCTTCTCAACAACAAATACCTCATGGTGTTTTGATGGGTGGAGGGTCTGTCCCCGGCCAAATGCAGGGACCGTCTGGTGATGTAACGGGAGTTGGTCCTGGCTCTGCCGATCCTAATTTTATGATGATGAGTGCTGGTGGTGGTCCTCCTAGTGGAATGCAATCACAGGTTTTTTTATTGATGATTAGAAATATTTTATTAATTTAAAAAAGTTTTTAAATCATAATGATGGAGGAAATGGTGGCAATCCAACGGCTACATCGATTAGACAACAAATAGAAGCTGCTGAAGGCGGAGATTTAAATGGAGGTGGAAATCAACAACAAAGCAGTCAATTACATTCATTATTGAATGGGACAGGAGGAGGGGCAAGTGGAGATATGTCTATGGAAATAAAACATTCACCTGCATCTGTTCATCATTTTGCGGGTAGTGGAAGTGTACCAGGTATAAATTTAATTTTTTTATGAAATTAAAAAAAAATTAGGAACAAGTTGTCAACAACCAGGCATAAATGGTGGAACACCTACGGGGGGAGGAGGCCCTTTAGGTAGTGTTGGTGGCCCTAGTTCTGTTCATTCTCAACAAAGTGGTAGCAATAATAAAATCCAACAACAACCACCAATCTCTGAAGCATTAGAAATGGCTGGACATGTAGGGAATCATCAGGTTTTTTTTGAATTGTTAAATTTGAATTATTTTTTAAAAATTTTAGAGTGATGAAATTTCCAAAATTAAAGCAGGTCTATTGGAAGGATTCCCCCAAACTCATCAATTTCAGCAGCAATGATTTTTAAAAATATTGAAAAGAGCTAAAAATAGAAAAAAAACCTTAAAAGTGACATATACATAGATGCTTAAATATTTGCATATTAATTATTAGAAAATAGTTTTTATATATATTTTTTGGAATATTTTAGTTTATTTTTTGTATTAAAAGGGAATTTTTTTTGTAAAGAATTTAATTAGATTTTTCTAATTTCCTTTTTAAAATCCAAAATCTCTTTTAAATAATTATTTAGAATTTCAATTTTTTCCAAACAATTTACTCTATAAAATAGGAAATAAATATTTTCTATGATTTAAAAAATATTTTTTGTATAAATCGTCTAAACTCCATTTGTTTATATAATCGTTTTTGGCTTTTTTACAATTTACATGGCATTCTTCTCTTTTTTATACCGAATTTTCTTTTAATTTTTAATTGAAAGTTTAATTTAAAAAAAGAGAAATTCGGTATATAATCGTTTGTGTATATTTAAATATCCATATTAAATACAAATTTATGAATCCAAAGGTTTATGTGTATTTTTCTTTGAAAATTCGTACAAAATTTTTTTATATTTTAAAATAAATAATTAAGGGTTTTCTAATACTTTTTTTCTAAATTTTTAAGTTTTAAATTTATTTTTAATTAAGAATCTAAAAAATTTATGGGTATGAAAAGGAGAAAACATACTTCAACCAGAATTACTGGTGTAGAAGAAAAAATACATAAAAATGATAATAATAATTCAATACAAAATTCAAATAATCAACAAAATAAATTATTTGGAAAGGAACAATATTTACCTGAAAAATCTAATATTAAATTTGAAGATGTGGGTGGGTGTGAGGCACAATTTTTGGTAAATAAATAAAATAGGGGAATATTAAAAATTAATTTTTAAAGGAAGCAATTTATATGTTGATGCATTTAAAACAGCCTGAACTCTGTACAAATTTAGGGGTTAATCCTCCAAAAGGATTACTTTTACATGGACCTCCTGGATGTGGAAAATCTTTATTTGCACGTGCAATTTCTGGTTTAATTTAAATTTAATTTAAAAAATATTTAATTTTTAAGGAGAACTTCAAATTCCAATTTTGTCCATTTCTTCAACAGAAATAATTGCTGGAATTTCTGGTGATAGTGAACGTCGAATAAGACAATTATTTGTTGATGCTGAAGCTAGAAATACCCAAACTTTAATTTTAATTGAAGATATTGATGTAATTGCAGCAAAAAGAGAAAATGCTCAACGTGAAATGGAAAGAAGAATTGTGACACAATTAATTGCTTCTTTGGATGGTTTGAATTATTTTTTATTTTCTAAAAAAATAATTAAAGATCTCAATTCTTCTACTCTTTCAAAAGTTTTTGTTATTGGGACAACAAATAGACCAGAAATTTTAGACGCCTCTTTACGCAGAGCTGGGCGTTTTGACAAAGAAATTTCAATTGGAATTCCAGATTGCCGATCACGATTAGAAATTCTAAAAATTGCGACAAGGTAATTATTTAATTTTCTTTTAAATTTTACACAATTCTTTTTTCAAAGAAAAATGAATTTGGCAGAAAATGTTGATTTAAAACGTTTGGCCCATTTAACTCCCGGCTAGTTTTAATTTTTCTTTGAAATATATTTTAACAGAATTTAATTAGGTTATGTTGGTGCTGATTTATTTGCACTTGTTCGTGAAGCTTCAACAAGAGCTTTAAGTTTTGCTTTTTCAAAAAGCGAAGAAGAGGAAAAACAAAATTTAATTTTAAGTAATATTCCAAAGAAGAGAACTTTGGAAGAAATTCGTGAAGAACTTTTTAGAGGTAATTTTTTATTTTATTTAAAAATTATTTGTTTATATTTTAGCTTGTAATTGGTTCAAAGAGCCATTAAATACAAATTCTTTAATTGCTAATAATACCAATGAATTAACAATTTCAATGAAGTAATTCTTTTTTTTAAATTAAAAAAAATTTCTTAAAGTAATTTTGAATGGGCTCTTTCAACAGTCCATCCTTCAGCAAAAAGAGAAGGTTTTGCAACAGTTCCAGATGTTACTTGGGAAGATATTGGTTCATTAGAGAAAATAAGATCAGAATTAAATTGGTCAATATTGGTAAAAATTTAAAAATCTTTTTTTTTAAATTTTTGTTTTTGTAAAAGTATCCAATCCAGAAGCCAGAATATTTTGAACATTTTGGTTTAAATGCCCGTCCACAAGTAAATAAAAATGAAAAAATGTGTTAAAAATTTTATTTTTGAGGGTATTCTTTTTTGTGGACCTCCTGGTTGTGGAAAAACAATGCTGGCAAAAGCAGTAGCAAATGAAACTGGAATGAGTTTTATTAGTATAAAAGGCCCAGAGTTAATGAGTATGGTTAGATTTTTAAAAAATTTTTAGTTAAAAATTTAATTTAAAAATTAGTATGTCGGGGAAAGTGAACGAGCTGTTCGGACTGTCTTCCAACGTGCAAGAGATTCTGCCCCGTGTGTTATATTTTTTGATGAAATTGATTCTTTATGTCCTAAACGTTCACAAAAAGAGGTAAAAATTAATAAAAAACATTAAAATAATTTTTAGACTGTTGGAAGTGCTCGATTAGTTAATCAATTATTAACTGAAATGGATGGTTTAGAAGCTAGAAAAGATGTTTTTCTGATTGGTGCTACAAATAGACCTGGTTTAATTTTAATTAAAAATATTCTCGTTTTTTATCAAACAGATATAATCGACCCAGCTATTTTGAGACCAGGGCGTTTCGATAAAGTAATTTTTATTGACTTTCCAAGTGTTAAGGAGAGGGCGGATATTCTTCATACAATCACAAAAGTAATTTATTTACAAACTTTTGGATTGAATTCTAAAAAAATATAAAATTATTTTAGAATAAAACAAGACCAAGAATATGCCCTTCCGTTTCCTTCGAAAAGATGGCAGAAAATCAAGCAATGGAATTTTTCACGTAATTTTAAATTAGATTTTTAAAATAAATTAGAATCTCTCCCTAAGAAATCCCTCTCGAAAAATATCTAATTTTCATTTTAGAGGCGCCGATCTTGTAGCTTTGGTACATGAGGCAACATTGATAGCATTGAAGGAAAGGATTGAATGCAAAAACCTCTCAATCAATTCTGTAATCAGTGAAAACTTTGAGGAAGCGTTAAAGAAAGTCTCGCCCTCCGTGAAATTCGAGGATCGCTTATATTATAAGAAATTAAAGGAAAAGTTTTCAGTTGAAAATTTTAAGAAATAAATTTTGTTTAAAAGATTTAGTTCTAAAAACATTTAAAAATTGCAAATTTTTATTAAAAGTACCTTAATCCAAAATACAGACAAGCAAAAATGTAATTTCAATGTTTGGGGTTAATGAAGCAATTTGGTAAATCAAATCAGGTAATCAAGTCTAATTGTAAGTCTAGTCGGCAAGGAATAAATCTTACTCATCTTCTTCCCTTACTTTGCTCAGTTCATGTTTGAAACGCTCCTGACGACGTCTTTTCATTATAGACTGTGTTCGCCGTTTAAACTCTAAATGAAGAAATATTATTTAATTTCAGAGCTAAAAATCTTACTTTTTGCTTCATCTTCCTTTTCCGCAGCTTTAACGATATTAAGGACGCCGTATTTCTTACGTAGATTGTCTTTAGGTTCAACCTCTGTAGCGCCAACCAAAACTCGATCTAAAACCGTTAAAAATTAAAGATTTCCAGGAAATGCTCAATTTTCAATAATATCGATAATTAAAAATCCAGTCCCTCTTGAAACAAGAAATTTTTAGCATTTTTAATTACATACTTCCGTCCATGTCAATTTCGTAGATTGCCTCCTGTCCCAAATGATGTTGAAGAGGAGGCAGCCGATTTCGTTTAGAACGTCTTAAACCTAATTGCACAACAGAAGGAGATTCTGGATCAGGTCGAACTTTAGGGAAATATAATTTTGATATCGAATAAATAACACTCACTAAGCTTTGGTTTATATGTCAATCTTGGTGGCTTGTTAATGCATACAGTGTGTAAAAAATGTTTTGGAGGCGATGCATAGAAATTAGAACTCTGAGATAAATCTTTTTCTTCCGCTTCTTCAACTTTCCCTCCATCAGTCTCGTCGTCATAAATATCCTGAAATTCAATATAAAAATATTTTATGTTTTCTATATTAGACATCAAAATTTAATGAGAATTTCTATAGTTTGCTCTCCCGGAAAGTGGTTAATTGAGAGAAAGACAGAGGCCGAATGTTTCCGAAAGGTTGAAATCAGAGACCGGCGCGGGACAGGATCCCGCGCGGGATTTTGCGAGGTCCCGCTCCCTTTTTTCGATTTGCGGGATCCCGTCCCGCAAAGATTTTTAAAAAAATCCAGCATCCGGGATCCCGCAAACACGATTTTGCCGGTCTCTAGTTGAAAAGAAGTATTATTTTGGAGTGTTTCATGTTAAAATACTTACAAGTGTTTGGTCAGCCTGGAACAATGAAATTTTTGCCTGCGACGGTGTAGGAGATTTTTCAAAGAATGTCTGTTCAGAATTGGAAAGAATTGAAGGCATATTAATACTTCGACGATCATCGAAATTACAAGAAGAATTTGGTGAAGGATTATTCTCAATATTTTCAGTTTCAAAAGATTGTTGTGCTGATGGACGGATCAACTCACGCACCTATAATTAAATTAATTAGCTAGAAATATCTATTCTTGTAAAGAGAATTGTGTTTATATATTCTGTTTATAGTTTAAATTTGTAATGATATAGAAATTTTTGTTTAATTTATCAGGAATTTCGTCATTTTCTAATTAAAACATGAGTTAAAAGACACCAGAATTTAATGTAAGTAAAACCTTGCAAGGAGTTCCCTTAATCAAAACAAATTGATTTTTATTTAAAGAGGAGCGTGGTTTTGGAAAATTTGTTGATGTACTAGGTCCAGCTGTTTCAAAATCATGGCTTTGTGCACGATCATCCACCACCTGTTTTTCATTTAATTTTTATTTAAAAATATAAAAATCCTAACCGAATCCTGACAAATGGTGCTCTCAAAAAAAGAAGGAATACTAGCACGAAAAGTTGGACATTTATTTGGAGGTGCAGTTGATTTACTAGCTTCCTCATTCTAGGAAAAATTAATTATAATTTTTCAAAGAAAAAGATTAACAAAAAAGAAATTACCAACCAAACTTTGATCAAGAATTGTGCTTTCAAAAAGTAAGGAAGGAATGTTAGCACGAAAAGTTGGACAATTTTTTTGAAAAGGAGTTGATGTATCAGTGCAAGTATTAATGGTGCTTTCAAAAAGGGAAGAAGAAACATTAGCACGAAACGTTGGACATTTATTTGGAATTGTTGTTGGTGTACTAACAGCTTCAGAAGCATAATCTTGTTCATCTTCCTCATTCTAAAATTAATTTTTCAAAAAAGGTAACCAACAAAAAATTACTAACCAAAGTTTGATCATGAATTGTGCTTTCAAAAAGCAAAGAAGGAACATTAGCACGAAAAGTTGGACAATCAGTTCTATTAGGCATTGAATCCCGAATTGAACGAATATTTAAAATTCTATTTAAATTTCCTTCATTTTCTGTTATTTCTTCATTGCCAATTTCTTCTGGAATTATTTGTTTTGATGATTTTTTTGTTAAAGATAGTGGACGTTCAGAATAAGCATCAGTTTTGGCTTCAGACATTGTTAATGTTTTATCTCCAACATCGTTGTTATTGACAAGTTCAAATGACGACTTTTGGTACTTTTTGGATATCCCGCCCTCTTGTTTGAGTTTATGATCCCCTTCGGTTGTATGTGTAAGTAATTGATTGTGGGCATCAACAACACTCTTTAAAATATAAATTGAATAAACAAAAGGTCAAAAATTATTTAAAATCTTAATTATTTTAAATTATTTAATCAGTTTTCATTTACACATCAAAAATAAATTAAAAATATAAACAATAACAAACCTGACTCTGATCGAAAATGGTACTTTCAAAGAGGGAAGGAATACTGGCTCGAAATGTTGAAGAGTTTTTGTCAGACATAAATAAATTTTAAAGAAAATGCTTACCTGAAAAAAATAGAATTAGAAAATTACAAAAAACAAAGCAATATAAAGAGTAATTTATGAGATAATTTAAAATACATAGATGTAAAAAATGAAGCAAAATGTCCAATAAATTATTCAAAAAACTTTGCATTAAATGTAACAATATATACAGGGTGTCCCAACTAAAAAGCACTATTTTAAAAATTAATAACTTTTTATTATCTTGACGGATTTTAATCATTTTTGGTATTTTATATCTATAATTTATGAGAATTTTTTTGACATAAAAATTATGTCTAAATTCGAACCCTAACCCTGTATTTCAATTTCGTACTCAACTGTTCTCTTTTTTCCCTCTTTTCATTGTGTGCTATCTTACTTCATTTATTTTCCTGCGTATGGCGAAGAGTGGATACTGTATTGAAAATCTAGTGTCTATCGCCTAGTGTTTACTCTATTGTCTATCGCTGCTCAAAAAAACAAAAGGGAGTAAGAATGCATGTGCGGAAAAAGGGAAAAACAGAACGGTAGAGTACGAAATTATCTCGGGTTAGGGTTCGAATTTAGACATAATTTTTATGTCAAAAAAATTCTCATAAATTATAGATATAAAATACCAAAAATGATTAAAATCCGTCAAGATAATAAAAAGTTATTAATTTTTAAAATAGTGCTTTTTAGTTGGGACACCCTGTACAAACTTCTCTTCTGAACATTTTTAAATGCAATAAATTTGGTTATATGAAAAATGACAAAAATTTTTTCTTTAACCGTCTCTCTTATTATCTTTTCAAAATTTTAACGTCAACATCCAAGAAATAGTGTGTTGTTTTGAATTATTGCTTTTTGGCGTTTTTTAGAATTTATTGCGCCATAACTATTTCCTTTTTTTTATCGCGCTATTTAGTGATTATTTCATTCAATTGCCTGATTAATTTTTGTTTAAGTTCTCTTATTTAATTAGGTAAACTTTTAGTTTTTGGAGGAAATTTATTTAATTACACGTATGTCTGATCACGAACAAGACCATGATTTCGCAACCGGAGACGCTGGTGCATCAGCGACTTATCCAAAGCAGTGCTCTGCTCTTCGCAAAAACGAATTCGTTATGATAAAGGGACGTCCGTGCAAGGTTTTATTTTCTTTTAATATTCAATAGCCCGAATCTCTAGGACAAGCAAGATTAGCAATATTCATTAATAAACTTTCAGATTGTTGAAATGAGTACTTCGAAGACTGGCAAGCATGGACATGCAAAGGTTCATATTGTTGCGCTTGATATTTTTACCAATAAAAAACTGGAAGATATTTGCCCATCTACTCATAATATGGAAGTGCCAGTTGTTAAGCGTAAAGAATATCAGGTTTTTAAATATCTTAAATAATAAATTTGTTTTGTCCTATCTGACATTTTCTTACCAAAATCATAACTTAAGCTTCTTGCAATCAATGAGGACGGTTTTGTTAGCATGATGGATTTGGATACTTGTGACACTAAAGACGATCTTCGTATTCCGGTTTTTTAAATCTTTTTATTTCATTAGATTTTTTAAATTAATTTAGGAAGGTGAACTTGGTGAACAGATTAAACAAGCATTCGAAAAGGACGAAAATGGAATTCTTGTATATATTTTGTTTTTTTATCCGCAATTTTAATCTTAAACCCTGTTAATAAAGGTTGTTTTATCGGCGCCTTTTTTCCCTTTCTTTTAATTTTTGGTGAGGGGTTAGAACGCTTTTGAATTTTTCGTTGTAAGAACACCCATTTATAAGGGGTTGCCAATTGTATGAAAAACATAAAATATATAAATTAACGGTTATAGTATTAAATTTGCGGTTAATTTTAGTTTTTACAAAAATATAAATTTTTTCGTTAAGGTTACTGTTGTCTCTGCTTGTGGAGAAGAAGTGGTTCTTGGCTGGAAGAATATGCCAAACCGTGATTAAACGATGAAGATTAATTGATAAGCGGTTGAAGAAGAAATTTAAAAATTTGTTTGCTTAAAAAGTGCCGCTAAAAATATTTTTGTTACTTTTCGGTTTTTTAAAATTATTTTTACTTAAATTAAAAATTTGGGAAGGGTTTTAAAGTTAAATTGATTATTTTTTATTTGTTGACCGAAAAGTTTCAATAATAATATTAGAGAAAAACCACCAATCCAAACGGGAAAGACGCTCTCCTTAAAAATTGACTTTTATATTGTGTTGGTTATTTAATTATTAATTAAAAAGTAGCAACTTTTTTGTTGTGCTACAGCGTCCCCTTTATTCTCTTTTATTTTGTTGTTCCTCATTATATGTTAAAAAAGAGATGTTCTGATGAAATTGTTGAAAAATATCGGATTTGTTATATTTAGACTTACAAACCGACTTGGATAAAATTTAATTGTTTTTTGAGACATTCAAATGTGTTACACAAAATTATAATGGAAGGATTTTAATATACATAATTCTTGTTTGGTCCATCCTTTTTTGGAACTTGGAAAATCGAGCAAAGAAATATTTTTTATTAAATTTAAAAGAAAATAATTTATTGTCAAAAAATTTAAAGTTATACATATTAAAATATTGTTTATTGTTAGGACATAGGAAGTCCGACTTGCAATAAAAAATTACATTTAAAATTTTTACTATTAAAATTTTGGTGTTTTTATTTTTTATCTCAAAAATATCAAAAAATTGATCCCTAAAATAAACTTTTTGACAAGCTAGGAAGTGAAGAACTAAAAAATTTGAGTGGAAGTATGTGGATATCTATTTATATTAACACTTGAAAATTCAATTTTGTAGACACAAACCTTTTAGTAAATATTCTAGTCCCCCCCCCCCCCCCCCCCTTTTACTAAAATTTGATTTAAAAAGAAATTTTATTAAAAGAAATATTTTCTTTTAAAGCTTAATCGAGAATATTCAATTGGTGTTAGAAATAATGTTAAATTACAATCAAAATATGTGTGATTTATTTTATATGATTAATTCTTTATTTTTAAATCCAAAAATGTCCTTTTCAAATATATTTTCTTATTCATGCAATTTCTTAAACTTTATTTTTATTTAACATTCTTAATCATTTTTGTCATTTCCCTGTTTATTTAAACTCAGCTATTTCTGTTATTTTAGCTTCAGCTTCAATTCACTTTTAAATTCCCCAATAATCCCCTTAAGCCTAATTGTAAAATTATTATTAAATTGAATAAATATTAATAAAGAAATATTCCTTTTTTGGATAAATTTAGAAGGGCTAGAAATAATTAAAAAGATATTGTTTCTAACATTTGGTGCCACTCGGTCTAATTGTTCAAACTGAGCTCATCGGAGCGTTCAATTTTTGAACGTGTTGGAATCGCACAACGTGTTTCTTCGCGCCCAAATCAACAACCAAAGACATCAATTCAAAGGAAAGTTTTATTAAATAGAAATCGGGTAGCTCAAAATTTATTAAATAGAAGTTTAAAGGTTGCTCGGCAAAAACCAAGCGAATTACAGCCGGCTCAAATACAACAAGCTGCTAATTCACAACCTTTAATTATTCAAATACAGCCTCAACCTGCTCCAAACGCTCAACAGCAAGGAAGCAGCGTCCAATTAAATAATAGACAAAATTACCAACAGCCCCGACGTTATTGGAGGCATTGGCAACAAAATCAGAGGCAACAGAACTACCGACGACCAAGAAATCAAAGAAATTTTCGTGGGCAGCATAGGAATTTTAGACAACACCGCAGAAACTACCGATTTGTGAGAGGCCAACAAACCTTCCGTGGTCAACAACAAGCTTATAGAGGTCACATTTACCGAGGTCCAAGGACATTTTACAGTAGGCAATCTTTCCAAAGGGGATATGTCAGGAGTAATACAAGAGGCAATCAATGGGCTGAAAGAGCGCCTCATCAGATACAATACAGCGGCTACAGACGCCGATTTTAGAATTGCTGCTGATTTAGGTATGGAAGAAAAAATTTTTCGGCCAAAAGAATGATAAAATATATAACTTTAACTAAAAAGAAAATTAGTAATTTATTAAATGATTTAGACGGCCAGACAGTCAATTATGTAAATCTTTTCCCTACTTTAGACAGAGAAGAAAAAATAGAGGAAAAGAATGAATATAAAAATTTCGCAAATGGGCCCGAGGGTTATCTAACTATTATGGAAGAAGCTCGGGAAATTATTGAGGCCCTAAATGAAAATGAGTATATTTTAGAAGAAATTTTAAATAATAATACAGGGCAGGCACAAAGTCAGGCAAATGAAATGAATGTCAAATTGCCAGAAATAAAACTGCCAGAATTTTCGGGGGATACTAAAAATTGGCAAAGTTTCTTCGAAGAATTTAAAGCGGCAGTAGATGAGCAGCCAATTCCTGATAAAAGGAAAATGCAGTATTTAAAAAGTGCCTTGAGAAATGAAGCCCTAGAAATTGTCGAGCCATATCCGTTGGAAGCGGGTAATTACAAGCTCGTTTTAGATCTCCTAAAAAATAGATTTGGGGATAAAATAACAATCAGAAGCAGCCTGCATTCTGAATTAAGAAAATTGCCCAGGGCGAACCAATTTGTGCCCGAAATTAGAAAAACTTTAAGAAAAATTGAGGCAATTATAAATCAGTTAAAATTAATGGGCGAAAATACTGAGCACCAACAGCTAATTTTAGAGGTGGAATCAAAAATGCCCAAAAAGATACTGACTGAAATATTTAAGAGAAAAAGAATAGACCCACTATGGTCTTTAGAAAAATTATTAAAATTTTTAGATGAATATTTAAAATTAGAAGAAGACGTGCACATGCTTCATAAAGATTTCGGTTCAGAATTAAATGAAAGGCCCTATCAGAAAAAAGAAAATAGAGAGCCTGAAAAATATAAAAATAGAGAGCCTGAAAAATATAATAATAGAGAACCCTATAAAAAATTCAAAGGAACAGCTATGTATGCGTTCCAAAAAGAGCATAAGCACGCATGTAAATTCTGTTCTCTCTCTCATTGGGAAGATAAATGTGAGAAATATAAAACTAAAGAGGAGAGAATTAAAAGAATAAAAGAGCTAAAAATTTGTTTTAAATGTTTAAGAAATAATCATCGCTCTATAGACTGTAAGGCCAATACATTTTGTTTTAATTGCAAGAAAAATGGCCACATTTCTGTTTTTTGTCATAATTTATATACAAAAGGGCAACAAAAACAATACCCCATGAAAAATTTTGAAAAACATGGGAATGAATTTAATAAGAGAAAACAAATGTGTCTGGCCGTCAGGGAAAATTTTGAAAATTCTGAAAATGAAAATGATATATTAATTCAAAATTTTGCAAATAAAAAAGAAATTAAAGAAAACAATAATGAAAAGACACTTTTACAGGTAGCGGAAGTAAAAATAAAAAATCCCACAAAGAAGAAGTTTTTAAATGTGGAAGCATTTTTCGATTCTGGATGCGAGATCACCCTCTTACATAATTCAACTGCGGTAAAACTTGGATTGAAACCCATTGGTCATAAAGAATTTAGAGGAATTGGACTTTTTAATAAAACAATAACTGTTAATGCGCCTATTTACATTATTGATTTAATTTGTTTAAATAATGAGAAAATAAATATGATTGTTAGAGGCACTAATGACATGGTCGAATTTTTAGAAAAAATTAAAATAAATAATAGAATTGACCAAATGTCAAAAATAAACATTGGGCAATTCGAAACGGTAAAACCCGAAATATTAATAGGTGCCGATTATTACGGATTAATTTTTGGAAATAAACAATTAAAATCTGGATTTTTAACTGTTGATACAAAAATTGGAAATATAATTTATGGAAAGGGAAAAATTTCAAAAGGCCCTGAAAATACAAAAATTTGTCAAATGGTAAATACAGACCTGTGGTGGGAATTAGAAGGTCTAGGCATTGATATAACAAAGGAAACTGAAGACGATAAATTTGCCATTGAACATTTTAAATCAAATATAAAAAGAGAAAACAATGGTAGATATATTGTTTCCTGGCCCATTAAAGAAAATCAAACTTTAGCGGACAATTTTTGGATTTCAATGAAGCGATTACAAGGGGTTTGGAATAAATTAAATAAAAATCCCGAAATTTTAGAAAAATATAACCAATTATTTGTTGAACAAGCTAAAAATTGTATTATCGAAAAATGTGAGAAAGAAAGTGAAATAGCCCATTATATTCCCCACCATTGCGTCATAAACGAAGAAAAGAAGAAAGTAAGAATTGTTTTTGACGCTTCTTGTAGGACAAAGGATGGATTGAGTTTAAATAAAATAATTTTGAGGGGTCCAGTCTTATTGCCTGATATTTGTGGAATGCTTTTAAGACTTAGAACCTTTAAAAATTTGATTGCGGCTGACGTAAAGGGGGCGTTCCATCAAATAGCAATCAATGAAGCACAACGTGATTTAACACGATTTTTATGGATTAATGATATAGAGTCACCCCCAACATATGAAAATATTGTTAAATGGAGATTTGCCAGAATGCCCTTCGGGGTAATCGCCGCTCCATATTTGTTAGCAGCGGTAATTAATTACCACATTGAAAATTTAAATTCGCCACTGAGCAGTGAATTAAAAAGAGGTATTTATGCGGATAATGTATTTCTTTGTGCCGAAAATGAAATAGAGGCAAAACAAAAATGTCAAAAGGTATCCAAAATTTTTGAAGAGGCCAAAATGAATTTACACGAAATTTGTAGCAATTTGAATGAAATAAATAAAACATTTGGAGATAAAGAGCAAAAGAACCCTATAAAACTTTTGGGTCTCAATTGGAATTTAGAAAAAGACACTATTTTAATTGAGTTGAAGGAAATTAAAGAAACTAAATGGACGAAAAGAAGTGTTTTAAAATCTTTAGCGAGCTCTTTTGACCCACTTGGATTTTTAGTACCAGCTAATTTGCCTCGAAAATTATTTTTCCAAAGCTTGTGGAAAACAGATAAAACTTGGGATGAAGAAATTGAAAAGACGGAATGTGAGGAATGGAATAAAATTAAAGTAGATTATGGCAATTTCCAAATAAGGCGAATTTCAGTCAATAAACAAAATCCAACTGAGTTACATGTTTTTGTCGATGCTTCCGGTAAAGCATACGCAGCAGTCGCTTATTTAAGACAATTTGATAAAAATGGGGTACAAACATCTATAATCATGTCTAAAGGAAAATTAGCCCCGATAAAAAATAAATTAACAATTCCCCGATTAGAACTAATGGCAAGCGTTGCTGGAAAAAGAATGTCAGATTTTATAATAAAAGAAATTGATATTAAATTTACAAAAATATATATTTGGACGGATTCTAAATGTGTACTTTCATGGATTTTATTGTCAAACATTGATAAATTACCAAAATTTGTAAAAAATAGAATTAAAATTTTGAGAGAAAATAAAGAAATTGAATGGAAATACGTTCCCACAGAGAAAAATCCGTCAGATATTGCGTCACGTGGTTGCACTACGAATGAACTGAAAAATTATAAAGAATGGTGGAAGGGTCCGCAGTTTTTGAATGAGAGTGAAGAAAAGTGGCCCCAATCACCAGAGTTAAAAAGGAATGAAAAAGAATGGAGTAAAGATTTGGAAGAAATAAAAATTGAAATGTTGACAAAGGATTTAATCAATACGGAATTGCGTAATGAATGGCCTAAACTTGTTAATATTTCTACCGCGTTTTGTCAAGCAATAAAAAATTTTGGAAGAAAAATTAAATTTAAAACGGAATTTGGGTCAAATTTACAAAAAATTAAAAATAAAGTAGATTTAAGAAAAATGGGTGAAATATTGTTAATAATAGAAGCACAAAATAAATACCCGCCAACTGAAAAGGAAATACAAGAGTTAAAAATGAAAAAAGAAAAATATAATATATGGACTTGCCCAGGGCGTTTAGGGGACTTAAACACACCAACGCCTATTTTTATTTCCAAAGAAGCCCCACTGGTAGAAAAAATTGCGTTAGAAGCCCATTTGCGCACATTACATAGTGGAATAAATCAAAGTTTAATTGAATTGAGACAAATGTTTTGGGTACCAAGCGGACGGCAATTAATAAAGAAGATAATAAATCGATGCTTACATTGTAAAAGAGCGAAATTATTGCCATACTCAATTCCAAAAATGCCAGATCTCCCAAAAGAAAGAATTTTGCGTTCAAAGCCGTTTCAAAACACGGGACTGGACTATGCCGGTCCCTTTGAAGTAAAAAATAGTGGTGGTGAAATTGTAAAAGTCTGGATTGAAATATTTTCTTGTATGGCCACACGATTCACGCATTTGGAATTGGTACCGAGTCTATCAGCTAAATCTTGTATACAAGCCATGAGAAGATTTATATCGGAATACGGCAAACCAAAATATTTTATAAGCGATAACGGCACGCAATATAAATTAACATGTAAAGTAATACAAGAAATTGAACAAAAAACAGAAAAAGAAAAAATACATTGGCAGTTTATCCCAAGCCTCAGCCCATGGTTTGGCGGCTTATATGAGGCCATGGTAAAAATTATGAAAAATTCTTTAAAGGCTGCTATAGGCAGAAAAATGTTAAACTATGAGGAGTTAAGAACAATACTTTCAGAAATAAAAACAATTATGAATAAAAGACCACTAACTTATGTATACGAAAACTTTGACGACGCCTATACTGTATTGCGTCCAATTGACCTTATTTTACCATCACGTAATGAAGAAAATATAGAGTTAGAAATTTTCGATGAAAAAGAATTTTTAGAAAAGGAAACCCAAAGAGAAATATTAATTAAAGAATGGGAAAATTCAAATCAAATGTTAAATCATTTTTGGCAAAAATGGGAAAAAGAGTATTTAAATAAGCTAAAGGAAAGGGCAGATAAACATAATCAGAAGTTGTACAAGAAAAATTATTTGCCCGAAATTGGTGAAATAGTGTTGATACAAAATAAACAGGTGCCAAAACAAGCCTGGAACTTGGGTAAAATTGTTGAATTAATTAAAAGTAAAGACGGGTTAATAAGAATTGCTAAAGTTCGGGTTAAAGGAAAAATCATTACCCGCGCAATTGCCTTATTATATCCCATGGAATTAAAAGCAGAAATGCCCGAAAAAATAATTGAGAGGGAAAAGGACAAGATTGAAAATAGTGAATTAAAAAATCAGAACCAGAAAACACACAAAATGGAATTGAGAGCTAAAAAGAAAATAAATTATAAAGAAATAGAAAGTGAATCAGAAGAAGAAAAGCAAAATATTGAGCAGGTAAGAATAGCAATGTTCAGACAAGAAATGAAATGTGCGATATGTGGCAGATCCGGACACCCCTCACAAAAATGTTGGTATAGAAGAAACGAATTTGTAAACCAAAATAATCAAAATTTAAATCAAAAGGAACCCCCTTCTTCATCGAAAGTAGAGACGGATTGGCAAGAGTCATATAAAAACCTAGAAGGGAAATATTTAACGCTAGAGGAAAAATTAAATAGCGTTGAAAATGATTTGTCAAAGGAAAAAATTGAAAAAGAAGCTATAGGTAAAGAATTGAAAAAACAAGAAAGAGAAATAATAGAAATTAAAAATTGTTTAAAAGAATTGACAGAGAAAGAAAAATCTAAAGAGGAATTGAGTAATGAGATAGAAAGACATAAAAATGATTTAATAAGAATTAGAACCGAATTTTGTACCCCTAAAAAAGAAAAGGAGGATAAAGGGTCTAATCAAAAATCAAAACAAACTAGCGTGTTAAAAGTTGTAGCAAAAAGTTCGGTAACGCTTCTCACAATGTTAATAATTTTTTTATTGACTTTCGGTCAAGTAGCTCAAGTTCAAAGTATTCGCTGCGCACAAAATGAAAATTTAGTTTTGAAACATTTAGAAGAGTGTAAATCGAACGGTTTGGTAATTTTTGAAAGAAAAGACAAGTCACTTTGTTGGAAAGAAATAGGCTGCAACGATAAGAATAAACACATACGTTGGCCAACAAAAAATATCAAGTACCTCTGTGATGAAAAATGCACGTGTCCCGATTGGGCAGAACAATGTATTTTCTTTAAAGGCCAAACGGAAGATAAAAATGAAAAAATAAAAGAAATATTGGAAAATAATAAGCCAAAAATTTGTTCTACTGAGGAAGATAAATCATGCGCAAAAACATTCGAAATGAAGGAATTTAACCAAATTGAATTGATTTCGGGAGAAAAATATTTGGTAAATGAATTAAAAATAGAATTGGAAGATGCAATAAAAGAATTTGTTTGTATTGGAAAAGGAAAGGAAATTACGGGTTCCCCAAGATATTGTAGTAAATACCATTGTTCCGAAAAGGGAACTAGATTTTGTTTTTACCCCAGAATTGAAAAAGCATTTTTTGTCACTCCGGAGGGAAGAGTAGCGATACAAGCATGGGGAAGAGTGAAAATAAAAGTTTATGGCTTTCCGAAAAAAGAAACGTCACTTTGTAAAGGGTGTGAATTAAAATGCACAAAAGAAGGAATACAAGTAAAAACAAATGAAATGATAGGTGGAATAGAGATTTGTAACGAAAAGAAATGTTTTTATAGAGCCCTCCCCGAAAAAATAGAAAACATAACTTTAAGCCATGAAATTGTTTTGGAAAAATACAAAACTGACGTTCAATTTTATAAAAATGGTGAATTAATAAAGAGAATGAAAATTGAGTGTGAAAAATTAAATATTTGTGAAATAATGAATTGTATCTTTTGTTTTGAACGTTTAATGAACCCGCATTGTTTCCCCGAAGTTTCCATGATATTGTTTGGGATTTTAGTTTACTTTTGTTCTAACTTAATATACATTGCTATTAAAACAATAATTTTGATTTTGAAAGTGACATTCTGGGTAATAAAACATAAAATAAAATTTATTCGATTCATCGCAAATAAAAGTAAAAGAGAAGAGGAAATTAAAAAGGAATCAAAGCCAAAACCAACTAAACCACTAATAACAAAGAAAAAACGTCCGATGAAAGTGATTGTTGCTTTATTGTTTTTAATCAATCTTTCTAAATGTTTTTGCCTCACTAGTTTACAAGCAACTGAAGAAAGTTGTGTTGTGAATAAACTCGGTGAAAGAAGCTGCTCGTTGAAAAAATAATTGTTTTGACATTTAATCCCGAAGAGCAACAAATCCAAGTTTCTTTAAACGATCATACCGGAAAAATATTAGGGACTTTAACAATGGAAATTCATAAAACAAAGGCTTTTTGTACTAAAAGTTTAAAATATTTTTCCCGATTTTTCCACATGCAAGTTGAATCTTCAAAGAGATGCCCTGAAACAGGAAGCTGCTATGATTTAAAATGCAGCGAAATAAAATCTCATGAAAAATTAATTGAATTTAATGCCACGAATGATTACCCAGGAATAACACAATGTGTAGAAAGTAGCGGTGGTTGGTTTTCCGGATGTTTCTATACAACCCCGGCTTGTACTTTCTATAGATTTTATGCCACTCCTGTTGATGAAAGAATTTTGGAAATTTTTGAATGTCCTAAATGGGAGCTAGGACTAAGTATGAATTTAACTATTGATACAAACGAAGGAAAATGGGAAAGCGCCTTTAATCTAATCCCAGGAATGGCATCTAAACAAAGTAAAAATAAAATAGAAATAACGTTAAAAAGCATAACCACTCCCATTCTGCCTGTTTTAAATAAAAATTTTGTATTTGATGGAAAAAAGGCAGCCATGCTAGATTATGAAATTGAAACGCAATTGCAAAAATTTAAATGCGCAAATAAATACCAAGCAGGCAATTTCAATTGCACTGTAGATCCACTTACCTGTTCATGTCGACCAGCTGACGATAATGTAAATTGTCTTTGTACAGAAATTATTAAAGATGAACAAATTTTTCAAGAATCGAATAATCTCCCTTTCAATCATAACGGAATATTAGTAAAAGTCGATCATGGAGAAATAACAGCTTTTCCCGATTTAACCTCAGCAGAAGTTCAGATAAAAATTGAAGGAATGATTTTAAAGACTGAAATAAGCATGAATACTTGTATAGTCCGAGCAAATTTGACAGGATGTTTTGACTGTAAAAAAGGAGCTCATGTGGACTTAGAATGTAAAACAGACTTTGGATCGACTCTTGCAAACATAATTTGCCCGTCGGCAAAAATGGCAATACCGTGCCGACCGACTGTTGAAAGAAAGATTTTGAGTATTCATTTCTCCACGTCGGATATTGATGAGACGTGTGAAGTTTTTTGTGGCAGTTCACCAACAACATTTCAACTACAAGGCAAACTTGCCTATCCTGAAGCAGCACTGAATGATGTAATTTGGAACGAAGAATATGGAAACAAAACCGCACCACATTGGCACTTGAAGCTACCAAATATGGATATTACCAACCTTTTAAAATTACTCATTTTCCCGCGCTACCTTTTCCTTTTAATAATTTCAATCTTTTTACTCATCTTAATGTTTTATTGTATTCTACCCTTACTAACTCGCTTTATCTTTTCTTGTATCCTAAATACTTTTGTTGCGCGGAGTGTTAGAAATAATGTTAAATTACAATCAAAATATGTGTGATTTATTTTATATGATTAATTCTTTATTTTTAAATCCAAAAATGTCCTTTTCAAATATATTTTCTTATTCATGCAATTTCTTAAACTTTATTTTTATTTAACATTCTTAATCATTTTTGTCATTTCCCTGTTTATTTAAACTCAGCTATTTCTGTTATTTTAGCTTCAGCTTCAATTCACTTTTAAATTCCCCAATAATCCCCTTAAGCCTAATTGTAAAATTATTATTAAATTGAATAAATATTAATAAAGAAATATTCCTTTTTTGGATAAATTTAGAAGGGCTAGAAATAATTAAAAGAGATTGTTTCTAACAATTGGAGGCGGGAATTTATCTTGAAAAAGAATAGCAGCTAAATTGTTAACACAAATAATATTTACTATGTATTTTAGAATATAACGAATGAAGGACTGCCATCATTTATTGGCTAAATATTCTTGTCTTACGTTTTTAAATGAGATTTTTTAAAAATATTTTGTTTAAATCATTTTTAATACTAATAGTAAATATGCACTCTGGCAAAAATTAGCACCTCTTCGGGCGAGATTTTCACCTATTCCCGAACTTCACCATTCCAAACGTTCGGGATATTAAGTGTAAGCATAGACCGTTGCCTCCAAAATAGACCAAACTGAGTAATCCTCGGCTTCATATCCGGTGACTTTCTGGTCACCTTGTATAATTTTTATCCAGATTTTTTAAACAAACCTTTAAATACATATTTTAATTTAATAATTAATTTTTAATTTAAAACAAATAATCTACAAAACATTCAACAATAAAATTATGGATTTATTATCTCCTTCAATTTCCTCCACTCCAAAAATTGGAACAGATCCATTAACTAGAAAAAGACAATCATTTACTGTTTATGAAATGATTACAAATAATGAGAGAAAACAACAAAAACAATTATTTAATAATAATTGTTCTTCTTCTTCTTTTGATAATTGGAATGTTAATAATAATAAAAATAATTCAAAAATTGGACAGTCAATTCGAGATGTGGTAATTTAAAAAATTAAAATAAAATTATTTAGTTAACTAAAGTTATTGGGTACAAAGATGGGGACGTGATTGCGAGGCTTTTAATTTCGGAACAAAAAATTTAGTTGCTTCCAGTCATTAGGGAATCTCCCATAAATAAATCGGGAATTCCCGATGTTTTTTGTGTCAGGAATCTCGATCCCCTAAAATCGACAATTTATCCTTTTTATGCCAGTAGGTATTTAATGGAGTTGAAAAATAAAATCAGAATTAAAAAAAATCATTTTTAAAGATGAAAGAATTAACATGCCCAACAGTGCAATTTTGTTTTGGAAATAATATAATAAATTCACAAAATTCCTCAAATATTCTTTTAAATAATTTAAAAGATCGCCCAAATATAAATTCAATGCCTTCATTAATAAATGCTTTGACACAAGCTGAACAAACAATTGTTTGTTTAATTTTAAATAAAATTTTAAATTAAAAAGAAACAGATGGAACATAATTATTATTTACAAAATCGAAAACAACAAATTCAACAAAATACTCGTTCACCTTCGGTTAGTGGAAATTTTTCTATTGGACTTACAACAACAACAATTAATAAAGGAAGGAGGTTATCTGAACGTTTAGTTAATGAAAATAATAATGGAATAATTAAAGGTAAAGAGGGGGAGGGAGGGGAGGGGGAAGGAGGGGAGGGGGAGGGGGGGAGGGGGAGGGTATTTTTAAATAAAAATATATTTATTTATTCACTTTAAATTATTTTTTTATTTTTCAATGCCTCATTTCACTCAAAATTGTTATATTTTTAACAAAAAAATAAGAAGAAGAAGCCAATATCCTTTCTTTTTTGAATAAATTATTACCTTTTTTACTGTGAGAAAGTTAAAAAAAGAATAAAATAAATAAATATTTATTTTAAATCAAAAAAATTATTTATTTTTATTTTTAAATTCTTTTTTTCTTTTATATATTTAATTAAAAAATTTTTTAAGAGGTTTCTTATAAATAAAAATATATTTTTCCGAACTAATCCGATTAACTTTTTCTTCTCTGATTAAACAAACTTCTTCTTTTATTTCTTTCAATTAATTAATTAAATAATTTCTGAAATTAAAAAAATATTTATTTTAATAAGAAATGATTCATCATTTAAGTATACCAAAACAATCTAGTAAGTAAAAAATAAATTTATTTTGGCTAGGCATTTTAAGTGGGGATTTAATATTTATATTTAAAAGACAAAAGTTATTATATGTATGTACTTCGATAAAGTACTAGAACATAGTGAGCAAATTCCTAGCTTAACTGCTGTTAAATTGGTTGTTTAATTCCTGTCCTTAACAAAACTTTTTGATCAGCATCTTAATTAAAAAATTAATTTTTCTTTAAAAAAGGCCGTTTGGAACGTTCAAATTCAGTTTTGAGTAGTCGTAATGGAAACACAAATTTAAATTTTATACCAGAACTTAATCCACAACAAGTTTCTAGTAAATTAAATTTAAATAAAAATATTTATTTTTTAAAATTAATTTTTAAAAGATTTACGTCGTTCTTGGAAGCATATAAACACAAAAGGACTTTATGATGTAATTAGGCGTGCCTTTTCTAAAGTTTTTCTTCTTTAAAATTTAAAAATTATTTTTTACTAAAAAGTTGGAAAGTTCTGCCCCAAATGTTCGTTCTGCATTTAAAAATAATTATTTGGATAATCAACAACAAAAAAATATTGGGGGAATATCTAATAATAAATGCGGGGTTATGGAACATACAAGGCTAGAAAATTAATTTAAAAAACTTTTAATTTATATTTTTTAAAGATTTTTTCTTTCTTTGATTGATAGAATTATTGAAGGAGATAATGAAGTAAATAAATATACCGTATTTCCTAAAATAGTACTCCCGGGAGTACTATTTTTCAACCCTCCTCCAAAGGGGAGTACTATTTAAGGGGGGAGTGCTAATTCAGGGGGGAGTATTATTTTTCAACCATCCTCCATGATTTTTCATAGGAAAATTTATTTCAAAATTAAAAAAAATATTTTAATTTATTTCAATTTATCTCAAAATAAATTCGATTAGAGTTCGCTATTTGAAAAATGCCGGATCCGGACCCTGATTTTCAAAAAATTTCTTTAATAAAAGTTGTAGAAAATATCCGAATTAGTATAAAATTGAGCAAATTGCGAGACAATTAAACACAAGTGACTTAAAATACGGGTTATTGAGGGAAATCAAAAAGGATATAAGTGAATTTGGAGTGATATCGAGGGATATAAGGGGATTTTCGGGTCTAAGATTTATCAGGGTCAACTAAACCCATGTGTCTAGGGATTACCTAATCTCTGTCTAGTTATTTATCATATTAAACACCGATATCCTCCACATCCCTTTTGTACTTCCGATATTAGTTGATTAAGAAGGATTTATGATTCAACTTATCGCTTAATCGCTCTTAATCAACCAAAATCGCCTAATATTACTCCCCCTTCATTATTCCCTCAAATTCCTATATCAAACCTTAATCCAATGATGTCTTTTAAATGCCACTTGATTAATACAGAACCCATTTTACACCCGATATCAATCCCTTTATATACCCAAAATCCACTTTTACTCCACCAATTAATCGGATTATATCTCTTTAATCCTCGAAAAATTTTAGTTTAAAATTTCGATTCGTTTTCGGTTAACCGAAAGCTCTCAGGTTTTGTTTATCAAAGAATCAAGTGAAACCGACAACGATACTTAGAATAAATAAAATAATTCAATGTCTCGTATTATTTTTTTAAATATGTATAGAGGAAAAATATTTTTGGGGGGAGTACTATTTTAGGGGGAGTACTAATTCAGGGGGGAGTACTATTTTTCAACCCTCCTCCAAAGGGGAGTACTATTTAAGGGGGGAGTGCTAATTTAGGGGGGAGTACTATTTCAGGAAATACGGTATTTATTTTTTTTGGTTAAAGTGAAAGAAAATATTTTTAGTTCTGTATAGATATTTTGAAGGAGATCTCGGGGAAAATTCTGCCACGAGGGGGGGGGCGGGGGGGGGAACGGGAATTTTTAAAAAATTATCAAATTCCCCGACCTTCGGGGACGGGGTACAACCATAGTGGACACGTAGGGAGGGAACTAACTGGACACTTAATTTACCTTATTATTTTTTTTTAAAAAAGGGAATTGAATGCGAACTTCGATTAATTGGTGCTCGTCATGTTCCTTGTTATGAATATTTTAATTTAAGTGTTACACAATTAGAACAATTAGGGGAAGCTTTGGCTGAACAATTTTTTAAATTGGATGGAATTAGACAGAGCAAAGAAACTACAAAAGTAAGGGAGGGAAATGTTTAAGGAAATTACAATTATCTAAAGCTTTCAGCCAATATTTTATTTAAAATTTAAATGAAGAGGGGGGGGGGGGCGGATAAATGAGAAGATTATTTGTTTTTGTAAGAAAGTATAGGTAATTTTTTAGAATTTCGATAAATTAGATTTTTTTTATTGAGATCTCAGCTTAGTTTCCAAACTTTTTTAATTAATATTTTTAACACAGAAAAATTTCTTAAATATTTTTTAAATAACAGGTTTGGCGTACATTAATTGCCCATATAATTGATTATATCCGTGATGGTTTTGAAACAGAATTAAGATTAAAGAGAAGAAAAAGAACAACAAATGCATTATTGGGAAATTGTGGAGATGCTGCTGGGGTTGTTGGCCCTCCAACTGTTGAAATGGCTTTGGCACCCTTTGAATCTAAATTTTTAAAGTAAAATTTTTAAAATTGGCTTTAACTGAAAATAAGGGCTAAATTTAATTTTTAAAAATTAATTTGTTGGATAAGGCAAAAATGGTGATCAGTTTTCCGATGCTTTCATTCAGAAAACCTTTTTCTCTTATCCCTCTTTTTTTCTAAGAGCTAGAAGAAAAAATATATAATAAAAGTAACTTTATTCAATCAAATAATGAAAGAATTTGCTTTATCCCTTTATTTTTTAGATAAATAAATTTATTTTTATTTAAAGAAGAAATTCAATGCCCGGCCTTAAAAGGCAATCATCTTCAATTACTTCAAATACTCTTACTACTTCTTCCATAGCTTCAACTTCAACAAAAACAACAAATAAAAAAGAAAAAACTGGACCTTTCTTTAAAACAGAATTAACAAATATTACAAAAAAATTATGTAATATGTAGTAAATTTATTTTAATAAAAATACGGGATTAAATAAATAAATTTTAGAAAGAAAATTTTTTTTTTGTTTATTTTGAGTTTAATAAAATAATTTTTTTAAAATAATTTTCTTCCTTTTTTTTAATTTTAACAAAAATTGTTTTTTTTATTTGAAGAAAAAAGAAACTTAAATTATTTTTTTTGGCTGTCCTCAATCTTTTATAAATAAATATATTTTATTTTCAATTAATTGAGGATTAGTATTTAAAAATTGAAGGTCGAAAAATTATTTTATTTTTAAGAAATTAAAATAAATTTTTTTAATTAATAAAAATGGAAAATTTAACGAAATTTAAGGAAAAAGGAACACTCACTCATTAGTTTTTTTCAATTATTTTATTATTAAACAATTATTTTGTTCCTACTTTTATGTGTTTTTTAGACCTTGTAGTTGCTCATAAATAAATAAATATTTTTTTATTAAAAATATTTAATTAATTAAATAAATATTATTTTTAAATAAATATTTCTTTTTAATTTAAAATTATTTATTTTCTATCGGTCACATTTTTTCAATTGTTATTTAGAAAAGAGAGGAGGAGGGAGGTCCTTGTTTGTGCCAGGAAGAGAAATAAGAGTGACAGCCATATATAAATATATTTATTTATTTTTAAACAATTAATAAAATAATTCTTTCTTTTTTCTTTTTTTCTAATTTTACTCACAAAAATGACCGGCCATTATCGTCGCCATAATAGTCGCGCGCTTGCCGGTCGTCCAATCCAATCCCCTCACTCCTTCACTCTTTCTACATTATTATTCATCGGACCAATCTTTTACCCTCACAATGACCGCTCTCTCAATTTATTCGGCCATTCCACTTAAAAAAATAAAAATAAATAAATAAATATATTTTTAATATATAAATAATCTACTTATTGTTAGATAAATTCTTTTTAAATTTAATATCCAGTATTTATTTAATATCACACCCCCACTTCCTTTTTATCTGTCAATCATTTTGCTCTCAAATAATTAAAGTAAAAGGCAATTTGGAGATCAGCAAAACGAAGGTGAGAGAGCCTCTCTCTCAAAGGGCCTTTTTCCCCTCCTCCCAAGACCCGATGAAAATATCTCAATGAACTTTAAAAGGAAACAAAATCTTTTGATGTAATCTTGAACGCAATTGTAATTTTGAACTATTTCCTGTTATTTCTTTTTCACATCTTGACCTATTAAATTAACAAAATAAAAAAATATTTAAAAGTATTTATTTTTTATTTTAATTTAAATTGGATTAAAATAAAATAAATAAATCCTTTCCCTATTACAATTTATTTATTACCAAATTGTTACGCAGATATTTATTTTCTCTATTTAAAAGACTTCTTTCATATCCGCACACTTCTTTTAAAATTATTTTTATTTATTTAAAATCGCCACACACTCCATCCATATATTCATTCAGAAATAAAGGAGGTTAAGGATTTATTAGAGAAGAAAATAAATAAATAAATATTAAATAAATATTTAAAATATTAATTATTTTATTTTGAATTAACTTTCTTTTGCCATTATT